ATTATTTGATCTATATTATTGTTTCGCTTTGGTCATGTTGTCACTTCCATCTTATTGTTTCGCTTTGATCATATTACTGTAGATAAAGATAAGAAGAATGTAGATCATATTATTTGATCTATATTATTGTTTCGCTTTGGTCATGTTGTCACTTCCATCTTATTGTTTCACTTTGATCATATTACTATAGATAAAGATAAGAAGAATGTAGATCATATTATTGTTTCGCTTTGATCATATTATTTGATCATATTGTTTCGCTTTGATCATATTGTCACTTCCATTTTATATATAATTGAATGTGGATAAGAAGAATGTAGATAAAGATGTGTATACTGTAGAGCATGTCCCATGATATATTTATCATTGAATGGGACATGCTTGTTGAATAATAGCACAGTATATTGTATACCTTCTAATTGTCATGCTTTGCTCATGATTTCGTGGGCACGACCCCGGTAGATCTGGGAATCCAAGTGGGCTCTTCAACTTGCAGCTCCAGTGCCTCATTGGCTGGCGCTATATGTTCAGTACATGAGACTGCCACTGTCTTTCTTTGCCAAACAACGCAAGTGATATTGACCGGTCGTTTACTGGTGCACTATTCATTGTGCATCGTGGCGCTCACCGAGATATCGTACCGTTGCTATAAGTCAGCACGGTCTGGTCCACGAATCGATGTCGAAAGTCTTCGATTGGTTAAGATGGATGACGAGGTCAGTCAGGCTCTCACGACGGGGGGTTGATCAGTGTTTCTTGGTCTGAGCGTCGTCTATGCTGAGCCGCATCTCTCCGTCTCCAGGGTAGTTGCAGCTCGTCTTCGTATACTGGATGACGATTCCCGGGTTGAGATGCTCACGGCTCGAGAGCGGCCACTTGCCTGCAAAAATGGTCTTCGTCGGGTGATTCCCAACTTTGGCCTCTCCGATAAGCAAGTCAGTAGTTGGTTCTTTTTTTTTTCCCCTTATTTTCTTTGACTGGATATCGGCCATGGGCTTTCTACTATTGTACGAGGGTCGGTCACACGCGGGCTCGACATGGCGGCTGATCCTCAAGGGATGAGAAGGTATTGTGCAACCGTCGCCCCGGGACGCGCAGAACGATACCAGACGACGCTATCCCGAGCTTCCGAGACGGGACATGCCAAATAGCGTCTTCCACGTCTATAATCATGTGGATTTCTGCTATAACTTCTTCCACGTCTTTCTTATTTTTCAGTAACAAATGCATCAAAAGAAGATTCACCATGTTCTTTCCTTCTAGCATCTTTATTTAGCAGATTATCTTTAATTATATCTATAGTTAGAGTCCCATCTAGCGTAGAGTTACAAATTGTCACCACATACGTTTCCCAACTTTTTGGTAAAGAGTTGAGAAGTAATAATCCTTGTGTTTCATCATTTATATTCATTTTTATAACAACCAATTTGTTGGCAAAACTCTGAAATAGATTTATGTGCTCAACAATATTATCATTATCTTTATACTTCAAATTTAGAAGCCTCGTGAGGAAAGAAATTCTATTTCCCATTGTTTTTTCGTAAAGAGATTTTTTAACCTTTGCCAAATAACATCAGCTCTTTCATCATAAATATGTTCATGTAAATTTATATCGATGCATCTTCTAATATAAGGTTTATCTTTAGTTTTGATGAGCTTATACACATCTAAACAATAAAACAGATTTTTCATCGTACTCCTCGTCGATCTGTCGGAGTCGAAGCTGTCGGTAAGATTCTAAAAAGAGCCATGCAGAGCTTTGCTTCCATGCCTAGAGCCTATGTTTAACATCTTCCCTTTGTTGCTTGTGCCGCTTGTTAGGTTGTTCCAGCACCTGAGAGCTACAAAACTGCGGATTTCTATCGGCACAGAGATAGATTCAAACAGCGGCTTGCCTGGGAGATCACTTAGAGAAGGTGGAGTAGCATTTGCTGATGACTGATTTTTATGAACACAAGCTTCTGAGACTTTGAATAAGATGTGCTTGCAGAGAGTCATATTGATGTTGTGAAGAGCTTCTTGTCGCCAACGAAGGTTTCGATGGTGACAACTTTTGCCCGCAGCAAAGGCCATTACATCAAACGATAATAATCTAAAATTTTTGAACCTCTTGTATTTATAAATTAAGGATAAAGGAATTAGACGTGGACATATAGACACATGATGAAAATGATATATATATATATATATATATATATATATATATATATATATATATATATATAATTCAATAATATGATGATTTACCATAATGTTCTGACTCTTTTTTATGTCTAAATACAAGAAAAAAAAAATAAAAAATTAGATCTACATCAAATTAGATATGATTTATTTTTACTTCGAATAAGATAATAACCTCGATGATATTTTTTATGGATAGATTTTCATTTTTATAGGGATGAATTTTCATAAAATATTTAATGACTAAAATAGTTTGTGGGTTACTAAAGCCCACTATAAGTTGAACTAATGGGCTATCTGGCCAACATATGGTAGCTTGGAGGAGCTAGAGCTTTTCAGTAATGTTGTTGATAGGTGATGACAAACTCTTATCTTTCTTTATCAACACATGAACGTTAAATTATCAATGATCATCACAACATATGTTCTTCTGGACATTTCAGATGGGTTGTAAATGCAATCGACAAAATTCCAGGGTACATGAAGTTGTGTTTTCCTGTGGTCTTCGACATTGGAAAACGATGCCGGATATAGAGTCACGAAGGAGAAAGGCTTGGACATAATACCCTACCTAAAGAGAGCAGTAATATATACAGCATTAATTTGTTCTCGTCCTTGTCTTACACATCAACCACCTGATACCTTTCTTATAAGGACTATTCTTCTTGGTTCAGTGGGCCGATGTATAGGCTTTACAAAGCATCTGCAAATACCAATATTTTGCGGGATGGTCGTCCATGATTTATAGGCTTTACAATGATTTGGCTACGTCAAAAGGTGTTAGAGCTAGCCTCAGGAAATTTACCACAAGGTAATTTTGGCAACCCAACAAGACAATAAAACGGAAAGAATAAAAGCGAGACAAGAACACCAGAACACCAGATATACGTGGTTCGATCAATTGACTTTGACCTAGACGAAAGAGGAGCAAATTACTATTACAATAGAGGGATAATTACAAATGCCTTAGCAAGATGTTCCTAGGTCATAAAACACCCGAAAATACTAAACAAGAAAAACCAAACTATAAGTCCAAACTATTTAACTGAGTATGAACTTAAACCAAAACAAACACTTAGGTTTTTCTTGTGGTGCCACTTATGGTACCTCTTGTGGTACATCTGACTTCAAAGCTCAGGCCCTTATTTATAGTTCCAAAATGAGACAACAAATCTGATTTTCCGGACTTGCCAAGTACGCAAGACGGTCAATGCAACACACACGCAATGTAATATCTCCTCTGTGTCGTTGTCTTTTGTTCTACAGGTTGAGCTGGCGAGAGACGATGTGCCGAAATCTATCCGGTGCTGAAAGAACTGATTAGGGCCAATTGGAGAGCACTAAATGGAGATCGTACACTTTATCTCCTCCGCTGGAAGAATACTTCAAGATGGTGATGGAGAAACTAAGAATCAAGTCGTGTTATTGTTCGTCCAACTTATCGAACTCTAGATATATATATATATATATATATCAAGAATAAAATGGTCGAAATGGATCTAATGTCTCTTTTCATATGAATCTCATGTTGATCCGCTCATTCTAAGGGTTATCTATTGTAAAATTGTCTGTTCATCTATGTTGAGTGACAGTCAATTGAGTACCTGGAATGAGCTGGAATCGTCCCCACTGCTCGTGGATCGTCTCTCCGTCGGCGCCACGATGCACCATGAATAGTGCTCCAGCAAACGAGTGGTCAATATCACTTGCGTCGTTTGGCGAAGACAGAGCGGGAACCTCATGTACGGAACATATAGCGCCCAGCCAATGAGGGTTCAACGCCCACGTGTCGCTTGGAGCTGCAAGTTAGAAGAGCCCACTTGGATTCCCAGATCTAATCGCCTAAAAATGGACGGGGACAAAATCATGTGCAAAGCATGACAATTAGTGGGGTTCCGTGGCCCGTGCTGCATCTACATTAACCCACAGCAAATTATTTGCACTCTTAGCTTTCCTGCTACGTGGGGGGAATGTAAGTGAAATATATCATCAATTCAAAATTTAACTATTTTTTTTTTATCTATTATTATATCATGAGATCATTCGGATGCGATCCACGTGTGATTTGATGATGTTGCCATCGAATGTGATCAAGATCATTCACCAATTTGGGAATGCTCGAGCCTAATCCCAACTTGAGTTACGATATAAACATTGGAACATTAAGTCATTTGTCAAACTGATGACAATCGATCTAACAAAAATTATATTAAAATATTAGCCAGTATTATGTCATTAGAGATACTTAGCTACTAATGTCAGTAATAAAATATTACTCTCAATTCTCATACAATATTTTTCTTTTTTAATACCCGAAATGTATTTTATCATTGCCAACACCTTTTTCTCCCGATGTAGTGGTGACACTCGTGATCGTCACCACCTTCTCTTAAAGTTTTCTCATTTCTTCTCTAATGTTTTTATTTTGTGATGATCGCTTTTATCCCCTTTATAAGGCTCCATCGTTTTCATTCCATCGTGGCCGTCTTTGTCTTGTCCTTTCGGTCTTATCATTTTATTTTTTATATAGATTCTGTGGAGGTGAGCATGAGAATGTTACAATGTATATATATATCATTGAATTGGACATGCTCATTGAAAGATAATATTGTACACACATCTTCATCTACACTTTTATTGCGGTCTGTCTCCACCTCGGATTCCCCCATGTAGCAGAGTGCAAATAATTTGTTGTCGGTTAACGTTGATGCAGCACGGGCCACGGAACCCCACTAATTGTCATGCTTTGCACATGTTGTCGGTTAACGTTCAGTACATGAGACTGCCACTGTGTCTTTCTTTGCCAAACGAAGCAAGTGATATTTGACCACTCGTTTGCTGGAGCACTATTCATCGTGCATCGTGGCGCTCACCGAGATACCATTCACGACGACTGGGGACGATTTCAGTTCATTCCATGTACTAAATCTATGGCCACTCAATTTGGACGAACAGTCTTTGGAATTTTACCGGACGAGCAGTGCATTTGTTCGGTAGACTTGCCGGTGGTCGGCGACAACGAAGTTTATAAGGGGCTAACCAGTGAACAGACAATTTTACAATAGACACAACCCTTAGAATGGACGGACGGATACAACAACATATACTTCACGAAGACCTCAGGAAATATTAGATCAACATGAGATCCATATGCAAAGAGACATCGGAGCCATTCAGACCACTTTATTTGTGGTATATATCTCGAGCTCGATAGGTTGGATAAACAATAACAAGACTTGATTCTTGGTTTCTCCATCAGGAATACCGTATCCGTCTCCATGTTCGTAATAGAATTGGGCCATCCGAGAGATGTTAATTGCCACCCTCTTGAAGTATTCTTCCAGTGGAGAAGAGGAAGTACGATTTCCATTTAGCGCTCTCCAATTGACCCGAATCAGTTCTCTCACCTTCTCACGTGCTACATCCTCTGACACGCTTTTCTCATGCATGTAGCACTGGATAGATTTCGGCACATCGCCTCTCGCCAGCTCAGTCTATAGAACAAAAGACAACAACGACACAGAGGAGATATTACATTACGTATGTGTTGAGTTGACGTCTTGCATACCTTCGAGGTAGCCAAATCATCGTAAAGCCTAAAAAGCATGGACGACCATCGCGCAAAGTCTTGGTATTTGCAGATGCCTCGTAATGCCTCTTCGGTTAAATCATCGCTCATGCAATAAGCAAGAGTCAGAAGCAAAGGGCTTGATATCGATGTCCATGCGTTGTCCAGGTACTCACCAAGCTTCGGTGTACGTCCATGGTGGTACCATTTCGCTTCGAGCAAGTACGATTTGCTTAGATCAACCCACTGAACCAAAAAGAATAGTCCTCAGAAGAAAGGTATCAGGTGGCTGATGTGTAAGAGAAGAAAGGAAACAAATTAATGCTGTATATGTTACGGCTCTCTTAAGGTAGGGTATTATGTCCAAGCCTTTCTCCTTCATGACTCTATATCCTGCATCGTTTGCCATGTTGAAGACTGCAAGAAAACACAACTTCATGTACCCTGGAAGCTTGTCGATTGCATTTACATCCCATCTGAAATGTCCAGAAGACCATATGTTATGATGATCATGGATAATATAATGTTCATGTGTTGATAAAGAAAGGTAGGAGTTTCTCACCTATCAACAACGTTAGTGAAAAGCTCGAGCTCGTCCAAGCTACCATAGACATCATAAACATCGTCGATTACAGTTATTAAGCTAACTAGCTTCGTTTGCATCTCTCTAAAGCTCCAAAATTGTGGTTCAAAGGCCCAACCAACTGTCCAGAAGTAGTTCTCCATCAACCTGTCTCTGAAGAATGGCAACCTCTGTGCAAGATCGAGATCGGTCCACCATCTGGCGATCCAAGTTCACTGTTTAATAGACGAGAGAAGTACATACTATTCATGACTAGCTTAGTTTACCTCGACACTTCTTTGAGTTCTCTCTTATGCATGATCTGGATCAGATTGAAGTCCAGCTTAGCCAATTCAAGTAGAAGAGGGTTCATGGTGGCTTCCCTTTGGTATGTTTCTATGAACCACCTGGTGTGTATCCTTTCCATCCTCCAATTCAGCGGAAGCTCCAAGGCGTGGGCCACATGTTCCCTGAAACGAGGCTCAAGTGATCCCTCTTCCATGAGCTTCTTGAGGTGCTTTGTCGTGAAGTCCATGGCTTCGATCAGTACAAACTCCCCCTCCTTTCCATGGTAGGAAGCTTCATATAAGCTCAGCATTCCTTTAGTCTGATGCTGGAGGCAAGTTTTGAGGTGGCCCTTCTCATCTTTGAATCTGCTGAACATATCTTTAGTCACAAAGTTCATCGAGACGTTAGATTGCGGCACCATGAACGAACAAACCCAAGTTAAGGCTTCATGAGCATATCAACCATTTTCTTATACACTATGCACATACAATAACATGTTGGTTAGGATGGATGTATTAGAGAGACTGAAGAATATTCCCATTTCGTCTTGACTAGGCTGCATCCCTCGGCTATTTATATATATTTATATATATATATATATATATATATATATATACATATATATGTATGTATATATATATATGTAGCTTCTAGTCGAGATGAATAGATTGTGTATATATTTTATACACCTTGTAACCATCAGTCTAGAAAATTTCAGGAGAAATATTAGTTGAAGTAGACCTTTACGTGTCATAATTAGAACTCTACTCGATTTTATCAGACAGGAGTAGTGTAAGTGAGGTGAACTACCTTCAGAAACATCGAAACCATTTTCTCTGAGAAGCCTGAAGAGAAGTGCTGTTGCATGGATATTGTCCTTCAGCAGCTTGCTTGTGTCTTCCAGGGATCCATGAATGCTCTCTAAAGCATCTTTAATATCATCTTTAAAATGATATGCCACACCAAGCTGCTGTAGGTGATCGATTAGTTGAAGCTGGTCCTCAAGTTCCTTCTCCTCCTGTATCAGTTTCACAACTTCCTTCTCCAAGTTACTTATCCTTGCAGCATTCTGCTCCTCCATCTAGATTTACAAGGAATAGTAATAAATATACACAATAGCACATCTGAGAGAAGAAAGCAAGCTTAGAATACAAAGAGGTTATGGTGCCAACCGAGTGGTCACTTGTGAGTGACTGTATGTAGTCATTAGTCCATAAGTTTGGCTGGTAATTGGCTGATCTCCGTAAAAGAGGTTGCCCGCTGCATCTGATGCCTGGAGAGAGGCATGGATCACGGCCATGGTGTTCGAAGGAGGCGATCCGCCGGAACGCACTGAGGCTGCTGCAAGGGAAGGATGTGGCACAAACGATAGTGAGAAGGCGGAGAGACATTATTTGGTCTGATTACTTGGTAGCTGGCAAACCCAGAATGTTTTTGTATAAGCCGGAGAACTTCTCCTTCATATATATCATGGAACGAGACATTCTCGCGTGATTATACAAAAAAAAAATATTATTGAGAAAAATAAATTATGATAAAATTATCATGATATTTTTAATATTTAAATATTATTTTATCAAAATTTTAAATCATAGTATGATCATGAAGATTCCTCTTTCTTGGTACTATATCAATAATGCACATCACCTCTTTACAGCTCAACCTGCATATAGAGGAGGATTCATGTTGTAGACTTGTTTGTCATGATAAGAAGAAGCACACAAATGAGGTTTAACTTTGTGTACCGTCGAAGTAGCGAAATCATTGTAGAGGCGAAATAGCATCATTGAACAGTAGGAAATTTTTTCAAAACGAAATGTATCCTTATAAATATATTATTCATATTTAATTATCAAAATCCTCAATTGTTAAACAAAGCAAGACATAAAGTAATACAAATTATTATTGAATTCGTAACAACCGGGTTAAATGAGTTATAGTACTCCAGAACGTTGATGAAATCCCTTTGCAGTATGTAAAAAGGATTTTGGGGAAGAGGAAAGGTTTGTAGATATGTTAGGTTCCTTTTTATATTAGGAACACAAACAACATCAAAAAGTAAAAAAGATTTTAAGAAAAAATAAAGATTTGTAGAACCAATATAAATTATTTTAATACCTTTCCCGTCATATACTATCAAACCATTATAACCTAAAGTAAGAGATAAATTATTCAAGTCAAACGTAATACGATGAGAAGGCCTAAAATCAATAAATCATTTTGATGAAAATTAAAACAATTGAGAAACAAATTGAGCAAGCAAAGATAGTAATAAAATAATAGCTTACATATGTATGAAGGCTGAAACATTCATAGAATAATAGTTTACAAGCGATGATATTTCTTAGCAACATGGTCTTATAAGTCACATATTTGACGGGTGACTTTGTTAAATTGTCAATCAGATTTGTTGATATTTTTGCTGTGACGTTGTTGCATGTTGCCTCTAGAATGATACCACATGTTGCCTCTAGAATAATTACTTGGACGGTTATCTTAGATCTTACCTTTGTTGCTAAGATTGGTTTTGTTGGCAAAATTGATAGTAATGAAAATAGCATAAGAAGATGGTAACTCTTGCTTATGATAAGCTTCCTAGTCAGAAAGCTTATCAGAAAGCTTATCATAAAGTTCTTCAAATGATATAGGACTATTGTAACTCTTGCTTATGATAAAGTTTCTAGTCAGAAAGCTTATCATAAAGTTCTTCAAATAATATAGGACTATTGTAACTGTTGCTTATGATAAGCTTCCTACTCAGAAAGCTTATCATAAAGTTCTTCAAATAATATAGAACTATTGTAATTGTTGCTTATGATAAGTTTCCTAGTCAGAAAGCTTATCATAAAGTTCTTTAAATGATATAAGACTATTGTAAGCATGAATCCCAAATAATATTTCCTTATAATCTAAATCAAGATTATTTAATATATAAAAAAATGATCTCTTCATCATCAAGAGGTGCATCGGTTATTAATGTATCAACTAGAGTTTTGATAGCTTACATATAGTTCAAAATAGATTTTGTATCCTTGGAAAGTTTGAATTTCTGGAAGTTTTGATATATATTGTGGTAAATTTGGACCATATTTGATAAAAAGATTTTATTAAGACTACATAAGAAATGATTTGAAAAGAGAGGCAACGATAAAGGCATATCACTTCAAAGATGATTTCTACAGCAGCTTGGTGTGGCACATCACTTTAAAGTCTACAGCAGAACATGCAATCCTGGGTGGTCTCACGTCCATATTCGAGACTACTTCTGGTTCCTCCCCTGTATCATCCCCAATTGTAAGTCTCTCTCTCTCTCTCTCTCTCTCTCTCTCGTAGTTGGCACTATATCAGTTCTTTGATCTAATCTCTGGTCTCTAAAATCTCGTATTCGATATGATAACTTAATTACAATCTCTCTCTCACATGTCGAGCTTTTCTTTTTGTCTTTACCCAATGTTTTCTCGCATTTATGTGCATAAAATATTAAATGAGATTCTATTTATAGGGATATAATCAAAATTTTAACTTTAACAAGGATAGATACTTCGATCCTAAGATTTAATATTCCAACTCCAACACCTTGCAATCCTCAGGTGAGTGGAGAAGTTTTCCTATGCCTCCTTCGTCAAGTCGTCGCTCATGCAATAAGCATTGGTCATGAAGACGTTCCGGGAAGACCGACATCGACGCGTTGTCCCAAGTACTCGTCTAGCTTGGGTTAAATTTAGAATACAAAGGGGTGTATGGTGTCAACCGCGCGCATTGTTGCTTGTGAGTGATAGTACGTAGTCATGAGTCCACAAGTTCGGCTGGTAATTGGCTGATCTCCGTAATGGAGTTTGCCCACTGAATCGGATGCGTGAAGGGTGGCGTGGATGACAGGCCTAGTGTTGGAAGAACGGGAACCGCCGGAATGCACCGAGGCTGCTGCAAGGGAAGGATGCGGCACGAAGAGTATGGAGAATGTCGAGAGACATCATTTGGTAGCATGATCTTCCAATCAGGCAGGCAGGCAGGCAGGCAGCCTTTAAATGGCTTCTCATAAATCATGGCCAAAAGAGCAAATAATATCATCACAGTTGGTAATTTTACTGTTGAACTACAGCTCGTAGTTATCTAAAATGAAAGCCCCAGAAAAGAATCACCAAACCCGACAAGGAATCTAATTGTAAGTATGTCAGTATCAAATCTAGTTAGTCTGAAACTAATGTTCCAATAATTAACAGTCGATTTCACCTTTTTCCGAGGGAAGCCGTCGATCATGATAGCAACGCAAATGAAGGATCCTAATTCCCTCCTAACCACATTGGTGTCGGGCGCACGGTTGCTTTATTTTGTAGCAATTTTTCCGCATGCAGAGATCAATTGAGTTGGTAACGTCAGTTCTCTGAGCTTTTCGGTCGGTGAGAGAAGGAAAGCTCCTGCAGGGCTACGTTTGTCGGCCGTCTTTTTTCTTGTGCTGTTCCTGTTTCCTACATTTGCTCTGCTTCCCCCGTGCTTCGATGCAAGGGATCTTCTGGTTTACGTGCAGATGTTTAACTGGAGATTTCAATTGACTTTGGTTTCAAACATATTAATAATAGAGCAATGCTGTAGAGTTCATTTGGTTAATACCCACAACAGCAATAAAAGGATTGAATCTAACACATTAAGCCATAATGTAAAACCAGTCATAGGTTGCTACCAAGTGAATTGCATCGAACGTAGACTAGGCCTAAAATGTACAGTTTCTCTTTAACTAGACAATTTGAAAGCAAACCAACTACATCATGAACAACTTCGCTTGCGCACAGAAAAAGATTGCATTGAGCTAATGCCTCTGTGCGAAGAGAGTTGCTGCAATCTCGGTGATTAAGAATGTCACTGGTCACCCTTCGTTTTCGGCCGCATGCACCCACAGAAGGAGCTCTTCTTTGTCTGTCTACGGCCATCTCTTCTCCCGTAGATATAATCGCTCAGCAGCGTTCGGCTTCTTCGGTCCATGGCACTGGTGTGACGATTTACGTGCTCTTCCTCAAATTTCAGCATGACATACTGGATTTTATGCAGCTCCAGCTCCAGCCTTCCAACCTTCTCTGATTCCTTTCTTGATTGTGTGGAGATTTGTCTTCTTCCGGTGCTGCTGCTTTCTTCAGATTTTGTGCCCATGCCATTTGTGGAATGATATTCTTCAGCCTTGCTCGTCAGTTTGTTGTTTGTACCGATCAACTCCATGACAGCACCTTCAGCATCTTCCAACTGTGATTTGACTGTATCATACCCAGAGCTCGCAGGAAGCTTCCCCATTTGAGAGCTTTCCATTTTCCTCTTCAGATCCTTTACATTGGTTTTAAGGTCTGATAACCTCCTAGCATCATTTTGAAGGCTCTCGAGGACTCTCTTAGTCCATTCTTGTCGAGATGTCAGAACTCTAGTTGGTATCTCTAACTTGTCAACACTCGGCTCCTTCTCAACCATCAGCTCTGAGGACGGGTATTCACTCTTTTCTTCCTCCACGGGCTCTATGTCATGTTCCGTAGCATCTGTTGATGTTTTCCATACTTGTTTGCTGCAATTTGTTTCAGCAGCTTCCCATAATTGATCATCGATCCCATCATTACTAATCCTGCTTAAACCATATGAACCAATGGTCCTGTACGGCAAAGAACTTGAGCCCTGATCGAGTTGAATATCTTTTGTCACTTGCCCATTCTTGCCCTTGGTGATTTCAGTATCATTTAGTCCACCATCATCAACATGTTCAATAGAATGCAGGTTCACTTGAGCTTCCTGTCCCAGTCCAATTTCATTTATCTTTATCCCTTTAGTTTCTTTACTTGCAGCCTCTGAGTTGGAGTTGGCATCAAACCCTTCCTGCTGTCTGTGACTTTGAATGTCTACTATCACTTCTTCAAGAAGTTTGACTTTGGTGATCAATTTCTCCAACACTGGAATGCCTTCAATATTCATTGCCTTATAACCATCACTAGGTTGGTTATCACAGTGATGATGATGAGGAACCAAAGGTAAAACCTGGAAACAGACGAAATGAGTGTCACAAATGAATGTTACAGACACAACTAGCAAACATTGTAGCTTACCAGAGAAAATAAAGAAAAATTCTACACTCAAAAGTAAAAAACAAAATTCTGATGGTCTAGGCAGAAAATACAAGGATTGGATATTAATATGTTGGTATCTCAAGCATGTGATAAGTGGGTAACAAACTTATTTTTGAAAAGGAATAATTTGTCATCACATACCTAAAATGTTGATGAAATTGCAAGCTCACTAAGTTGATCACACTCAGCTGTGTGGATAAATTGTTGATTGCATACAGCTATGGAGTTGGATCACTCAGCCTCATCAGACCTCAAAATTAAAGGCAGGACAAATTCAGTTAACCAAAAAATTCCCTACTCAGATGCATTCAGAGAACTCTACTCGATGAATTCATGAAAACAAGCTTGTAGTAACACAGCTGGACATGTCCAAGTTAACTTGTGCCAGAGTCTTCAATTCAATTCAGCTTTCCACTTGGTCTTCACAAAACTTGAGATCAAACACACTCCATTGACTGGGTAAACTCATGACTTCGTTCATTCAAATCCACTAGACTTCATTCATTCATCCAACACATTAAAGCACTTCTGACACCTGACTAATTTTATCATATGAGGGATGGATCTACATTGTTTTTTGACAAATATATATCCATATATAGACCAAATAGTTTGCTATTGTATTGCTGAAGCAATAAAAATTAATAAGAAACAATATAAACAAGCTGTTCAAAAATAAACTGTCAGACTTTATATTTTTTTTAATACAAAAATTACCTTTCTGAAAAGCAATAAGATATATCATTGTAATTGTCCTTTGAATCTTAATCAGAGACATCAGTTTTTAATTCTTAAAATGTCATATCATCATATCTGCTTCTTGTGAGGTGTGATGGTCCTTCAGTTTTAATTGATTCTATTTGTCGTTAATTTGTGATGCAATTACTGGTCAATAGCAAACTAAAAATTTCTGTACATGTACACCCTCATAAAATAAAATCAGTGTCACAATGCCTCCCCCCAAACCAACACCAACCTCCCTCCCCACATCACCCCAATTCGAAAAAACAGTCTGTCGTATTAATCCTACATAAAATTGTGATGATCCATATTACTCAATTGCTCATGTAAATGCCCTCTTGGATCTTGCTTTGGTCTTAATGTCCTCATGGTAATTTACTTTAGCATATATACCTCTCCAAAAATCTAGGCAAGTCCAACGGTAATGGTTGAGTGAAAGGAACAATGATGCAAAAGTGTATTCTACATATTAGTATGGTACATATATGTACATTCTGATATAGTTAGACTTTAACAAGATCACAAGTTTTTGTTGCCAATGACCTTGGTTTGGGAAGTTACCATTATAATTTGATGATCTCAAGGGGCAGACTGTAATTGGATGAATTCAAAAGAAAAAGGTATTCCGATTTTTATGATATCATTTAGGTTTTAGAAAAATCACAATTAAGGAACCTTATGCTTTACAGAAACCACTAGACTAATACCCAAAATTACCGAAGTAACTGCTTATAGATTTGAAAAGTAGTACATATCTGTCAAGGATTTAAATGCTAGTCCCGTTGATATTTACTGGCCCAACCAAGTACCAATATCGAAATGTATAGTTTTAATATTGATACATATACCATTACTTTTATTTTTTTATCATTTTATTCCATTACCGGACAATATAGATTGTTATACTGTTCAACCACTCATTACTATTTATATCATAATGGTTTGAGATATTAATTAAATCCTCATATTTGATTATCTCAAATATTTTAATTACTAGTTATCAAATCTCAAAGCTTGTCAATTCTTCAAGTAGCTTAACTCAAGTTGCATGTCGAATTTTCTGTTTCGAAACTTAAATTATGATTTAAATGTTAGCAGTACCAGCAGATTCATCATATTTAACAAATCTAGGAGTACCTCTTTGTCATGACAGATTGATATTCTGGGCTTTGACATTGTCATAATTTGTTCTTCCAGAGATTTAACACTATTCCACAAAGATGCAACCAGAGCCAGATAGAAATCTAAGCCAGCCTTCAACCCACTGTTTTCTCCCTCTAAATCATCAAGCTTTTTCTTCATACTATCCAATTGCTCCTTGGTTAAAGCTACCTCCATTTTCAATGTCTCCTTCTGCAATAGGGAACCAACTTCTTCTAGTATCAGCTCATGAACTTTTTCTTCATACAGTGCTGAATTAACTGTGGAGACTTGGATATCACTTAATAATGCTTTGATTTCGACTTCACAGTGTTCATTTTCATCTATTTCTTTCTGCAGTTCTAATTTCAAATCTTCCTCCCTGCTCATAAGTACTTTAACTTCTTCACGCATATGATAAATTTCCCTTTGCAGCGTCTCATTTGCTTCATAAAGACATCTGATCTCCTTATTTCTGTCGACAACTACTTCAGATAAAGTTGAAATCTTCTGCGCCAACTCTTCTTTGATCAGCTTATCTGCTTCATAATCCAGCTGAATACCATCAAGAATTCTACACAATTCCAAGTTCTTTTGTTGGGTGGATTGAGCATTTTGACTTATTTCCAGTAACTGTGACTGTTTTTGTAACAGTTGGCTCTCTAATCTTTGTCTTTGAAGACTTAACTCCTCACAGACGCATGTAGCTGTAAACAAATCAAATTCTGAAAGCAGGACATGATTTCTGAACTCTTCTTCTAGGTAAGTAACGAACTCCCTAATATGTGTTTTTTCTGCCTCAAGTATCTTTATCTTCTCCTTTAGTTTATCAATCTCAGCATCAAGAGCATTTTTAATAAAATGAAGAGAATCCAGATCATAAGTGAAGGATTTCAACTCCGACAATTTCTCTGCACTATGGTTCCTAAACAACAAATAAAGGTGGTCTAGTTTCAGAGCCTCTGCAAGGACTTCAATATGTTCCTCTTCCAACAAATTATGTTTTTCTCTTAAGTTGCAAAGTTCATCCATGAGAATCTTCTTGTTTTCAATTAAATTTTGAATTTCATATTTAGATGTCAGGAGAGCCTCTTGCAGGTCAGTCAAATGTTCATGGAAAACTTTCATTGCAGTCTTTGATTCTACTTCCCTTTGGTTGCTTGCTTCCACATCATTCATTAGTTTTTCATTCAATTCTCGAAGTTGAAGATTTTTGTTTCCTAATGCTAATAATTCTTTGGTTTTCATATCACGTTCTTTTTCAAGAGAACATTTATCCAATCTCAGACTGGCCAGATCCAGCATTGTATTCTTCAGCATAGTGACAAGAACTGATATCTCAAGATGCAGTAGTTGATTATCATGCTCGGCTTCTGAAACACAATTCAGAATATTTCTAAATTCGCCCAAAATAATATCTATGAGAACTTCGACCTGGAATTCATCCACGGAAACAGACTTCTTGCCAACAATAAGAGTGTTCTGCAGCAAACAAATTCCAGTTCTTAACTTCTCATTTTGCTCTGACAATGACATTATGTTTTTGATATGCATAAGTTTCTCCTGCTCAAGTGCTGAAATAAGTGCCTCAGTCCTTCTACATGCCTCGATATTTTTCTCGCATTCTTTCAAAAGAACCAAGTTCCTTCCATTCACATCGGACAAACTTCTTTGTAAGATAAAATTTCCTATTAGATAACCAATCACATTATCCTGTTCTGATTCAAGCTGCTGATCTTTAAGCTGGCTTTCTTGTTGCAGAAGAAAATTGTGGTTCTCTGATGTGGCTAGCTGACACTTGAATGATTGGATACGAGTTTCATGCTCTTCTTTTTCTAGTTTCAAAAGATCTTGCAGATCCTTGACCTGACTGATTATCAGATACTTTTCTCTTGTTAGATTCAAGTTATCGTCCTTCATGTCCACTAACCTATTCTCCAGTTCTTCCAAATTCAGAGTGATGTTATTAACCTGACATAAACAGGAATAAACTATTCAGGCAGCAAAATAGAGCTTCGTAAAAAATTTATATGGCAAGTTAGAATAATCGTTATGCTTTCAGGTATAATTAATTGGAAAAATTGTTATCACAGAGTAATTACAACTTAAATAGGAAGAGGGAGAGAAATTAACCTGACTGACAAGAGTGTCCCTTTCAATAAGAAGGCCAGAGTTCTGATCACGGAGAGAGTCACAGGAGTTTTCAGAATCCTTCAATTTTGACTTCAAACATCCAGCTTCACTGCTTACATCAGACAGGCAGTTTTCCAAAAAGGATTTCTCTTGTGAAAGCTTCTCCAGATTCTTAGTAAGAACCTCTACCTGAGAAAGTAGATTGTTCCTTTCAGTAAGAAGACCAGAGTTCTGATCATTTAGTGACCGAGAGGATTCTTCAAAGTCTTTCAACTTTGACCTCAAACACCTGACCTCACTTCTTTCATCAGTTAGGGAGTTCTCCAAGGTTAATTTTTTGTGTCCAAGCTTCACCGCATTCTGAGTAAGGATCTCAACCTGAGAAAGCAGATTGCTTTTTTCAGCAAGAAGACCCGAGTTCTGATCATTGAGTGATTGAGAAGATTCTTCAAAGTCTTTCAACTTTGATCTCAAACACTCAACTTCACAGTTAACATCAGATAACGAGTTCTCCAATAAGGAATGTTTGTGTGAAAGATTCTCCATGTTCTGAGTAAGAAAATGTACCTGAGACACAAGAGTATTCCTTTCAGCAATGAGGCCAGAATTCTGATCAGTAAGAGACTGACAGGATTCCTCAGAGTCCTTCAACTTTGACCTCACACATCCAACTTCAGTCCTCACATCAGATAGAGAGTTCTCCAAGAGGGAATTTTTCTCCGAAAGCTTCTCTATATTCTGAGCGAGAATTTCCAATTGAGAAAGAAGATTATTCCTCTCAGCAAGAAGACCAGAGTTCTGATTGGTGAGCGAACGAGATGATTCTTCAAGGTCTTTCAACTTTGACCTCAAACACCAAACTTCACTGCTTACATCAGATAGGGATTTCTCCAAAAGCAAATTCTCGTCTGAGAGTTTCTCTAGATTTTGAGTAAGAATCTTGACCTGTGAAAGAAGGCTGTCCCTTTCAGTGAGAAGACTAGAGTTCTGATCATTGAGTGACTGAGATGACTCTTCACAATCTTTCAACTGTGACCTCAAAGATTCGACTTCACAGCTTATATCACTTAATGAGTTCTCCAAGAAAGAATTTCTGTCCGTAAGCTTCTCGACATTCTGAGTAAAGGTCACTACTCGAGAGAGTAAATTGTCCCTTTCAGAAAGAAGACCAGAGTTCTGATTGCTAAGTGATTGGCATGATTCTTCAAGGTCCTTCAACTTTGACTTCAAACAAGCCATTTCACTATTTACATCAGAAAGGGAATTTTCCAACCTGGAATTTTTGTGTGAAAGGTTCTCCATGTTCTGAGTAAGAACTTCTATCTCAGTAACAAGAGCATTTCTTTCGGCAAAAAGACCAGAATTCTGATCACTTAAAGACTGACAGGATTCCTCAGAGTCCTTCAGTTTTGTCCTCAAACACCCAACTTCAGTAGTTACATCAGATAGAGAACTCTCCAAGGAGGAATTAGTCTCTGAAAGCTTCTCAACGTTCTGATTAAGAGTTTCTAACTGAGAAAGAAGATTGTTCTTTTCAGCAAGAAGACCAGAGTTCTGATCACTGAGCGACTGACAGGATTCTTCAAAATCTTTCAACTTTGACCTCAAAGACCCAACTTCACTGCTTACATCAGATAGGGAGTTCTCCAAGAAGGAATTCTTGTCTGAAAGCTTCTCCAGATTTTGAGTAAGGATCTCGACCTGCAAAAGAAGAGCATTCCTTTCTGAGAGAAGATTAGAGTTCTGATCCCTGAGTGACTGAGAGGATTCCTCGAACTCTTTCAACTTTGACCTCAAACGGCCAACTTCATTGCTTACATCAGATAAGGAGTTCTCTAAGAAGGAACTTTTCTTGGAATGCTTCTCCACATTCTGAGTAAGGATCTCTATCTGAGAGAGAAAACTCTTCCTTTCAGCAAGAAGACCAGAGTTATGATTGCTGAGCAACTGACAGGATCGTTCAAAGTCCTTTAACTTTGATTTCAAACAATCGACTTCAGTGCCTAAATCAGATACAGAGTTCTCCAAGAATATATTTTTCTCTGAAAGGGTACACACATCCTGAGTAAGAATCTCTACCTGAGGAACAAGTGCATTTTTCTCAGCAATATAGTTGGAAATTTCACCATTGAGAGATTCATGCAAATTTTCTAGTGCTAAAGTCTTTCCTCTTAGAACTTCTAACTCAATGCTTGCATCAGCGAGTGAATCTTCCAAGACCATGTTCTTTTCTAATACATTGTCCATATCTCTCAGCTTGTCCACAAGAAACTCTTTTTCAGCTTCATGTTTCTTGCATATATCGTTTAACGCAGAATTTTTATTCTGTAAATCCTTTACAGCTGCCTTAAGGGACTCTGCACATATGCTTGCCGCTTCCTTTTGCTCCATCAGATCTCGGTGTTTGCCTTCTAGATCATTTATATCTTCTTTAATATGGTTAAGCTCTTCAGTGAGACCTTCCTTTTCGCATAAATAGAGCCGAACTTCATCTTCAAGGGTCTTATTCTTCTCCTCGATCAAAATTATTTTACCTTGAAGTTCTTTTATCATCAAGCTAGAGTGAAGATTTTGTTCATGTAAGGTGCCATTTTCCTCCTTAAGCTTACATATCTCTTCCTGTAGATCCACATTACACAATTCTATATCCCTCAATTTCTGGATCCATATTTGAATTTCTCTACTCAAATGATCTATCTCTTCCTGAGATTGAGTGTGCAGCTTTTCCTTTAGGCAGAGAGCCATCTCAGTCTGCATGCACTGCTGGTGTTTTTCTTCGATAGTAATTTGGAGTTTCTCCAATTCCTCTCGCTTCTGGTGAAGTTCATTCTCTTCCATGTTTACTTGCTTTGCTATCATCTCTAGCTCCAACAAAAGAGATTGGTTAAGTTCTTCAGAACTCTGTAGCTTCTTGACTTTGTTTACCATCTCATCATTGAGTTTCCTCAATTCGTTCTGTGTTGTTGAGATTTGAGATTCGAGAACAGAGATTCTTTCCAGAGATATTTGGTACTGTATATTACTTGCTTCTTTTTCAGAAATTAATTCAGAGATTCTGTCCTTTAGTCCTTGAAGCTCATTCTCTGTTTTATTATTTCGATCAGATTCTGTTGTTATCTGGTTCTTCATATTTTGGCTCCCTGGTGATAACTGGGAAATGTCTTGTTGCAGACCTGTTGTCACATAGCTCGCATCCTGTTTCTCCTTAACTTGATTTTGTTCTCTGGAACACTTATGTGTTATATTCTCAAGATCTTGTCCCTCTTCCTCTTGAAAATGTAGTCCTTTTCTTACTCTCCCTTCAGATGTTGTAAATGCTGTCCCTTCCCCAATTGCAAACATCTCATTCAATTGCTTCAACCCTTTTTTGCTTGATAATGAATCGCTTGGTTCAGAATATCCCCCATTTCTTTTAATTACATGCAATTCGGATGACAAGCTCAATGCGTCCTTCTGTAATTCATCAAGGTCAAATAACGCACGAAGGGGTGGTGGCCCTTCAGGAGTGTGAGGCTCTGCCTCATTGCCAGAATAACCATAAGGTGACTCATCTGACAGTACTAATGGAATTTGGTTAGGGAATGCCTCTGCCATTGTCCGATGGGCCTGGCGAAGTGCTCCAGTTGCATGATCATATTTTTCTGCTAATGCACGGTATGCTCGGTAGAGCTCCTCAACCAATTTCAAGAGCTCAGGGCGCTTCTTATAATACATCTCAGCTCTCCTTGCAAAGGAATCAGCATCTTCTTCCAACAGCTTGATTATTGTGTTGACCTTCATGTCCGTATCTGTTCAAGCAGTGCCCCTTTTAGTTAAAATTATTTCCAAGATAATAAAAAGTGGTCACATATTAATTATCGTAGAAATTCACAACTTAGCAGTCAAATAATGATAAAGTCATAGAGAAAAAGAAATTAATGCAATATATTATCGATGATACTATCCCTAAATGGAGAGGTTTTGCTTATTTAAATAAGTGTATGATTCTCCCATTCTTATAAAATGTATAAATTCACACTAAGCTAGATGCTTAAAGAGCAAAATTGCAAAGCATAGAACTTCTAATCAAGAAAATGTTAGAAGAAGAGGGATTCTCACACATATGTGGGATGTTTATGGAGAATGGGGAGCATGTGGCTCCCCACTTCTGCCTCCCTATGACGCATACAAGCATTTCCAGCAATGTGAAAAATTTTTGACAGACAATTTTATGGGCTAAATTCAAGGTAGATTACATGGTCTTTGTTGACTGGTTATACACTGGAGAATTCCCACAACTGATAAAGAACATCAAAGCAGCCTGCATATGTTTTAGGATTTGGATCAGCTTTCCCAATGCAAGCCTTCTTATCTATGAGCTCACACAATACAAACAGAAGATTGGAGATCATTCCTTCTATCGGCCCAGTAAAAGCATGGAAAGCTAAGGGTTTTAGTTCATTATTCCATTATGATAACTATGCCTAAAAAGATCTCAGTAGGCAAAAGCTTTAAGCCATCCAAAGATGAATTGACATATACACTTACTGGTTTGTCTGCTTACCTAATTCCCAATAGCTCGAAACCCTATCATGTTTCAGATGCTTGCTCTTTGAAATACACTTAACCCAGCCATGGAAGAAAATTTAAATAGCTTTTATCTGCAAAAAGAAAAACAAAGGGTTTTCTTCAATCTAATTCAACCAATTATCGTTGATCAAGGTGGTCTGTTTCTCTCAGTGCTTACCTAATTTCCAGTAATGATATTTACAGTATAATTAAGCCTGCATCAATTACAGGTTCAAATGATCGTCCAAAACCTCATCAACTTCAACAACACAAACGCACATTGTGATGGATGGGGTGTCCTCAGAGAGGACAAGCAAATTGATTACAGATAATTAAGTATGTCTTAGAAAGAAATTTTTGGTCCTCATTGTGCTCATATTTTCTGTATCAGAAGTCAATATGCACGAAGAACTTTTTGCTTGGCACGTCTATCACTCGTATCTAAAGGATAAAAGAACCTAACAGATATCATTGGCACATCTCTCTTATAAGATATTTTGGCTACTTTAAGAATCACTTATATCTCAAATAATGAAAAATATGTACCTATCAAACATTACTATTTGACTGATTTCATGGACTGTTATGTAGAAACTGCAAGCTTCTTCATTGGATAGGCCCACTCAGACCCCTGGAAAAACTTCGGAGGTGTGACTAAACGAACAATTGGTATTTCTTGATATATATTTTCTTAATTTTGTCTTCTAGATATTTGGCAAGGATTAGAAGATTGAAAACAATCTTTTTGCCATTTTCAGTGATATTTAATTTTTGTTAAATTGCCAATGTCTACATACCTGTTTAATTGTTCTAGTTGGATAATGGAGCACTCAGACAAAAAATGGACTCAAGATACGAAAGAATGACAGTTTATTTAAGGAAAGAAAATAGAAGAACAGTAAGGTTATTATTACCCATGATGGATAACAAATGGGTAGTCGATCACAATAATGCTAAATGTGCCTTATGAAGCTAGTATGATCCTAACAAGAAAGTGAAGGGCAATGGTCCCTAAAAGACTAACAAAGGAATTAAGCTATGCTGAATTTGCTCTACTCTACTAATAATGTGAATATGTGGAAATGCAGCTCATGACAAGAAAATTTTCACCATTGCTGCTTAAGAGTCAAATTTTGTGTTAGAGAGTAGGGCATGAAAGTAATGGGTGAAATTGAATGATGAGTGTATTGATGATTCATAGTGCATTTAATACATTATATTCTAAAATTTAGCTGGTATAGTGATTGGACTTGAGTTGTGGATCCAACTAAACCCAATCCTGAATTAAGAAAGGAAGAAAGAATATCTTGATAACACAATAAAGCATCAAAGGTTACAAAATTAGGGATCTATGCAGAAAAATCAGTCAAGATTCATCAGGGGTCCATCAGCACTCACAGAGATAACATGGCATCACAAAAACAGAATGGGATTGCACCATGTGCTAGAAAGAAGGCATGTGTTATGGTGCATGACAAGTCAACTTTCGCTAAAATAAAATGTGGAATTTCTGGAACATCAAATTCAGCTAAACATGAAAAACAATGTAATTTAGATAACTTTGAAGCTCATTTTCCTATAATTTAAATTCAAATTTAGCTGCACCATACATAAATAAACAAGAGGAGAATAAATCTTTTATAAAAGGCAATCTTGGTCAAGCAAGACTAAAGGAATGACTACTCTTTGACTAAGTGTAGGAAATGACAACTGATAAATCATGCCGAGCTGCATGAGAATAGTAAACAATAAGTAAAAAAAATAATGATCTTTCACAAATTTTCTTTTTATTAAGTGTGGAGCTCCATGAAACTGTAGTTCCAAGGGAGACACTGATCAAGAAGAAAATTGTCAAGTACCTGCAAGATTCTCCTGAAGCCATTTGGAATTCTTTGGACTAATATGACTATCCCACCACCATGAATAAAGTCGCCTGGATTCAGCTTGCAGCTTGGCCGCCATGGACTCAAGCACGATAAATATTATTCTTTTATATTGAAAAAGCTCGATTACAAAATCTTCAGTGATAGATCTATGGCACGGCTGAGAAATAAAACCAGTGAAAACTACTCTGAAGTTAACACCACATTTGATAGCTTGAAAAGCAATTCGGTATCTTGCAGTTTACCTAGGCATTGCACAAAGGCATGCTTCAGAAAGTAGAAAGATTTTGTGAAAGTGGAATTAAATATTGACTTAAAGATGATTGAAAGGCCACCCAGTGTCCAAAATCAAGCTATAAGACAATCAGAACATGCCTGATGCCCTCACTCTGGTGCTTGTTAGACATCAGTTGCATCAATATACGACAGGGATGAGTGTTTGAAACCTCCAAGCGATACAGAGATAATACATAAACAATGCGTCAATATATTTTTGGGAAGAAAAACTCCTTAGCCTTATCAAAGGTCATGAAAAAATCGAGGGTTTCCTGATCACAAAAAAAAGGAATTATAATACGAAAATTGTCAACCTTGCTCAAATCCACCATCTAGAGCAATTAATCTATGTTTTTTTTTCCGGCTTTCGTTAAATCAGAAGTGAGTAAAGCATCGACTAAAATGTTAAAAAGAGATGGAAGCCGCTAAGAAAACGGAACGTTCCCAAGCCCAAACAACCTGCAGCACAAGAACTACCACCAGGAACAGAAGAAACAAACGGCGTTGGTTCTATCGGCTTTTCCACTAAAAACAGATTAAAAGGAAATTTTACTTGTAGAATCCACTTATGGGAGAGGACACACGAAGCCTACCATGCAAAATCAAAAGAGTCGGAATACAAATGGAAGGATTTGAGGAATGAAACAAGAACAAGTTCTTTTCCTAAATGGCTGGTGAGAAGGCGATACAGTTGCTGTGGAGAATAAAGAAGGTTTTTTTTTTTCCACATTGATTCTCATGGCACTAATCTTATGCGAGAGAACAAAATTTCGCAAAAAAAATCCACAGGACAGAAAAAATAAATAATCGACAACAAAGGAAATAACACCGATTTTGCATAAGATCAAGACACTAGAGGTTCGAAAACGAATCACTTCGGATCCTGGACAACAGATCGTCGCGGGCATTGATGTTTGGCACCAAGAATCCGACACTCCAAGAACTGGAGACCAAGTCCAGCATGCAGATCACAAGAAAACCATGAGAACACGAAAGAAAGATCTAATCTTGGGGTGAGGAAACGCCATACCAAGGAGCAAATCTGAAGCGATCACCAACGAGCAACAGCCCAGCTGCCTTTCTCATCCACCCTCAACCCATCTCCTCTTTCCCCTCTCTCACTCTCTACTGTTCCTATCTTTTCGGTACTGGCAAGACAAAAAGCAAAGGCTGCAGTGCACACTAGAAAAGGAGAAAAAACTCGAGCACAAACGACGTGGAACGGCGAAAGAGGCGTCTTGTGAGAGGTCTGGTGTTCAAATCTCGGAGTAATTCCGAGTTGATTGGCGAGTAGAGCCGACGGGTTACGGAAAGTAAGCAGCGTAGTGTAGGGCTTAGACTGAGAGCAGCGGATCCTGTGGAAGCTGTTAGTCTCTTCGATTTGGCGAGAAGCGGTTCTTCTTCCTTCTTAAGCCGCTCTCCATATACACACAATGTTTCCCCGTGTCACTCTCTCCCGCGAGCTTTCTCTGCTGTGTGTATTGTCCTCACCTGTCCGATCCGACGCAGGAAACAGGATTCTTCAAGAGCAAACTGGTGGGTCCCGCTCGGCCAATCGACTCAAGGATGGTGCCAGCTCGCGAGGCAGACAGCGTTCCTGTCCGATCCGAGACAGCAAGTCGCCCACCTCACGTGACTTAGCTGTGGGGGCGATTTACAGGATTGCCATCTGATTTGGACTCCCATCTCGGGTCTTGTTCTTGTCGCGTCGTGGGTTCTCGTGTTCGCGGCGGTCGAGCTTAATGCCTCGGTTTGGACCGGAGAATTACGAGGTGGTCCACTGTGGAAGCACTGTCGCTGACGGAATCCTATTAATCGTGTCTGCAGCGGTGGGGCGTCAGACTCGATCGGGCTCGGTGGTCGGCCGAATCACATGATCGAGCAGATTAATCGTATCAGCAGCGGTGGGGAGTCAGACTCGATTGGGCTCGGTGGTCAGCCGAATCACATGCTCGAGCAGACGTGGCAACATCCGGTTGGCTCGGTCTACGACTGATGTCCATCCGACGCCGAGTCCGACCTGACAAAAATTTCGAAGATTTAATATGCGAATGTAATTATGGAAGCTGGCTTTGACCAAAGTCCACAACTAATGTATCATAATCAAGGGTCAAACATAGCTTTGACTTATTGGTTCATTAACTCTATTATTTTATAACTAGGTTTCAATTAAGTTCTCAGAATAATTTTTCATTTTATTTCATAATTTGGTTATTCTTGATCAAAAATAGGTTGCAAATTACTTGACTAAAATGGGTTCTGCTCTATTAAATACAGTTTTTACTGCTCTAAATATATATATATATATATGTATGTATGTATGTATGTATGTATGTATGTATGTATGTATGTGTATATATATAATCTACTCTAAAGGATAGGTAGGCAATTGCATTATTACCTTTGAAAATAAAAGAACATATTTATATGAACAATAAATATGAGACACATCTTCTAACTCGGATAAATAAATAGACAAGTGATGCATTATAATGAGTTGAAATTAGGAAAAGTAATCAAGTTTGTTTTTACCTCCTTAGTCAAATTCGGCGTATCAACTTCGTTTTGATCTAAACTATTGATCAAAATACTTAAGCTAAAGTTGATAGTAATACATTCATCAGATCCTTATAAGTCAATCTTAATATTATTTATTTCCGATGTGAAATTAATTGAGGGTGTTACATTTACCTCTCATCGGAGATACAATGAGTGTGATTGGTCATATCTTTTAGCGTATACTATTTTAAGCTTGAACACACTAGTAAAATTGAGATAAATTTCTTAGGAAGGTTAAACTTGCAGTATGACAATTCTAAAAGACACAGCATTGAATCGACACAGTTAATGTGCTAAACTCCACGTAATATATATTTAAATTTGATCAAGCGCACACCAATGTGCTTGTAAGAGAGGGACAAATGGGGGCATATATTGCCAAACAATCTTTTCTGTTTCTTCGCCATGCATAGACGACTCATAGCTGCCAAAACATTTGACTATTTGGTGTTCTTAGGCTTTTAGTAGTGGATATAGCTATCTACTGCCAAATAATTGAGTGGGGTGAATATTTATTCCTGTGGTTAATTAGAAAGAAAAATATTTGATAGGGAGAATATTTCAGATCAATCGTATAATGATATGTGAATCTCGAATGGACCAAATCTCCTCTTCTCAACATTCTCTTATACATAATGACGAGTGTTGCTAGAACTAAATCTCTAGAAACCTTATATCATTGATGTCAATTACATTAGAAAAAAAATCACATCGAAAATCCTCACATAGAGCTAATATGATATCTTTGAAAGCTAATCAAGTCGGATTAAACTGAGTGTCCTGGATTGATGAAGTAATTTTATACTGAGGTAATCTTATATAGATGACAGTCTCTAGCCAACGATATTTGATGGTGGTTTCGTCATTGATAGGAACGTTGTGGACATCTTTTACAAGACGACGAGAGACAAAAGTGCCGGAATTATAGAGGTGGACGGTGGCCGGCAGTGAAAACATTGATCGCGCCAAAATCTGACGTGCCCATACATGTTATGATATGCTTTAGACTGTCCTCCAATAGTAACCTTGTAGACCTCATGTTCATCGAGAGAGTGAGAGAGAGACCTCATGTAGCACATAAAGATGCATCTGGACAGTCACTCGACCAGTCTACCTCTGGACATCGACTCTATGTAGGAATATTTGAGACTTGCGATTAGTTTGTAAGCAAACAAAGAGTACTAATCACTTACCTCGGGTTTGGAGAATCTACTAAGAAGAAGTGACACGCAAGCCAGGAAGGCTTTGGTCTATTCAGCTTGATGGTGATGTGCAGGCGTGGCTTGCATGCTGCTGACTTTGTCGGACGAAAAGATGCGCGAGAGAAGGAATTCCCACACCATGATTCTTCTTGCCTGAAACTTACAGCAGCATGAAATCTTCACAAGAGAAAACATCAAAGCTGGCAGACCTTGCTTTATCTCGAATAATTTGAGGTTATGACATGTCTCAGGAAAGACATCAATGCATGCATGGGTCTGATTTCATTCGAAGAACCAGCAGGATGGTGTCAAGCACATCAAGATACACAGCAGAAGTCCCACCTGGTGCAACTCGTGGCTGGATCTCAGGTTTTCCAGCTGTAGATAAGCCTTTGATGCTCATCCAATGCCTGACACATGCATTATAGACTGACAGAACCACCACCTGCTGCGTACCTCCTCCAACACTGGAGCAAGAAGGAACGAGTCCCTACGGTCTCTGTTCAAGTGTTTCATCCCATCGATGCAGGAAAATAGAATTTGTATGGCTTCGTTAGTCTTGATTGCCTATACATCGACATCTTTCGCTGGTGAAAAAGCATTGTTTGGGTCCTCCGTGAGGTCACGACACTGTCGTTAATGGAGGAGGGAGAACTATCCATGTCTCAAGTCCAAGTGCCTGTACAGCATTCATGAGTATGTTGTTGGACTGGTAGCAGAAACTAATGGTTGGTGATCATAAAAAGAGCTGCTTTTGCTATTTTACGTATCTATTTATTTTTGCCCCAGAAGAGACACATGCTGTGTGGCCTCACATGTGCACCCACGAGAGTTTCACATGCCTCTCTACCCTTTCTTGATCATGTGGTCCACAATAACATCTTGCTTACCATGATGATCAGAACTTCTCCTTTTCCATGTAGTTGATTTGCATCATCTTTCTCACCGCCGCCATCACAACCCATTGAAGTTAGACGAGAGCTATAAAAGCTAGATGTTAATCTCAGGCCATCGTGCAATCCAATTCAGGAGAGAGATGAGAGGGATTTGTACCAAATTTTGTCCTCCTCCCAATCTAATATTTCTCACAAAAGAATATATATATAGATATTGATCAAGACAGCAATCTCATCAGCATCATATCATCACTTTTTGGTCATCACAAAGTGACAAATCGACGGAAGGTCACGATGCATGTGGACACCTGAGAACCTGATAAGAAAGGGCTTTTCGATCTCCAGCAAGGCCCAAGGCCCAATCACAAATGGGCCGGTAGCTCTTTATGGCCTGTACCAAAGGAGGCGGCAAGTCCAGTCCCATTTTAAATTTTCATTTTAATATTTTAACAATAAAAATAAAACCCTAATCTTTCCTAAATCATTCGTCTTTCGTGAGTTCACCTGTAATCGCCGCTCGCGTCCTCCGTCGCCCGTTTCGCCCCTCGCTCTGCCGCCGCCAGCCTTGACAATCAGTACTCTCCTCCTCCGCCTCTCTTCTATTTATTTTCGGCTGATTTTTAAGCCTTCTTTCAGATATCGGTACGTACCGGTGTACCGAGTGTTGGTACACCGGTGCCGGCGGTATGTAGTGCTCCGACCAGGGACCGGTATAGGGGTCAAATTGGATAGAACTAAATTTCATCAAGCTATAATTTTGCTTTGATGGGTATTATATTTGAAGTTCAAGTAGTGATGAGGATGAAACCAAGACATTTGTGTGACTCAGGTGTACCTAGGATGAAACAACTGCAGAATTGCATTTCTTCCATCTGATTCTTTCATTCGCACTTTTCAGGTGCTTCTGTTTTTCTATATCATCATCATGGAGGTCGATAGAGAAGAAAAGGGTTTTGGTGTATTGGTGAAACAGGGAGCTGAAGCTGTAAGTGATATAATGCTTTTGAACATCGTGTTCTTGTGATTTGTCATGTTTTCTGATGCTGATTAAACCTTTGCAGAGGGTGTTCGAGTCAAATTTTGTGGGGCGTAGGTCAATCATCAAGGAACGTTTCTCCAAGAAATATCGGCATCCACTACTGGACTCGAAACTGACACTTAAACGCTTGAATGCAGCTAATTTCTTACATTTATGCTCTTATCAAGTCTTTAAAGTGCCAAAAAATTCATTTCATTTCTCTTTTTTCGCTTTCAGTATGGAATGCAGCTATTGTTCGCTGACCAATTTGCTTCTTTTTGTTTCTTTTCATGTTGCTTTTTGTGAGGCCATAATAGGTTGTTTATGTCTTTGTTTCGACATTTGTTCCAGGAAGCTCGCTGCATGACAAAAGCTAGACGACTTGGTGTTCCCACACCAGCACTCTATGGTGTCGACCCGTTGTTGCATACTCTGACATTTGAATACGTGGATGGGCTCTCTGTGAAAGAGATACTCTTAGATTTTGGTTCAAATGGTGTTAATGAAGAAAGATTGGATGATATTGCCACACAGATAGGCAATGCAGTGGGCAAACTACATGATGGGGGTCTTATCCATGGTGACTTGACTACTTCAAACATGATTATTAAGAGAGATAACAACCGATTGGTAATATAAAAAAACTTCTAAGTTGCATCTTCATTAAGTGATTGACATAATACAAGCTGATTTCTTTTTATATATCAATGTATCAAGTGAATTACATGCACAAACATAATACAAAGTGGACTCGAGTCATTTAATTTTGCTTGTTCTACAGTTGTCTATTTTGCAGTCTCTAATGTTGACCAGGCTTTTGCATTATATTTTCATTTCTCAGGTCCTTATTGATTTTGGTCTGAGTTTCACATCAACTCTTCCTGAGGATAAAGCAGTTGACCTATACGTGCTAGAGAGAGCTTTGGTATCCATGCATTCATCATGTGGGAATGTGGTGAGTAAATTGCATTCCACTTTACTATGATGCAACTGAGTTCACTTGTCTAATTAAAATTGTCTTTATGTTCATAAAACAAATATCTATATCAACTCCAATCTCACCGGTATCCATATCAACAGTGCATGATGGTCAAGTCTCCGAAATCCCTAGTCTTTTCTGCTTTGTTTTTCTAAAAAATTATTCAGCTTCCTTGTGTATTTTAACTTATATTTTTGGCCATAGGTGTGGTTTTTTGGTAAAAATTGCTAATGTCTAAATTTTGTGTGTGTGTGTGTGAGAGAGAGAGAGAGAGAGAGAGAGAGAGAGAGAGGATAGCTATGGGAAAGCAAAGTGCCCTTTGGTTCTTGGTACAGGGAGGATCGTCTGTAAGTACACCTACCCTTGCATGGTACAGGGAGGATCACTGAAAGTACTCCTACCCCTGCATGGTGTACATTGTTTGATGATGCTCAGTTGAAAGAGGAATCTTATCACTATGCTAGATCCAACCTTCCCTTCAGGAAAGGACAATCTACTTGGCAAAGTTTCTGCCACTACAGGGTTTAAGAAGGGTCAAAAGTTATAGCTATTATGTGTTCTGTATCCATAATTCCTTGGTCACAATGGTTTATCTGGTCTGTCCAATATTCCAATATCCCTCCCCCTCATTGTACCCTTTATAGAATGTCATAAGAAAATAGCGTTTCCTACACCTTAGAAGTATCAGAACAGAGAGATTTACTATGGAGCTGAACCAAAAAAATGTGCTTCAAGTTATTGCAAAGACGTGCCATTCAGATGTTCATGGGAATGTTCTGTTGGATCTTTTGGTATCGATAATCACTGGTGTATCTCCACATCCAACGATCGTCTAAGTGGCTCAATTAAGATCCTTCTTAAAGCAACTTCAGAACAACTACTATTTTCATTTCTTTAGTACATTGGAAAAATCTCTACTTTTATACTTTCTCTTCGAGTCGTTTTTTGCCTCCAGCCAATGGTAATTTCAAAATTGCAAACACTATTCATTTCATTTTAGATGCATGTTGCTCTCAATTTGGTTAGATGACTAGACGTCAGTTCTTTGTCTGGCAGATGGATAAAATACTCTCAGCATATAGGAAGTCTTCTAAACAATGGTCATCCACAATGAACAAACTAGCACAAGGTACTTTTTCTTGCCCTTCCTCTCTGTATATACACGCACACTTCTATCCACACAAAGGTGATTTGTCTCCATTCTGCTATCTCGACAGTGAGACAGCGAGGTCGAAAGCGTACGATGGTAGGATGAACGGTCAGCTCAAGGATTTGCATGCAATCTAGGCATGTCAAACTATCATGCTGTTATAGCATATGTTGGTATGGTGTGTTGTAGGTGTATCCAAAATGGAGATATCATTTTTCATGCTGGTGGTCGGAGGAAGCATGCATCTTTTGGATTTGTCATTAAATAATGTATGTTTGCAGCCAGCCCAGCTTCTATCCATACTTAGCATTCCTGGAATATAAATTACTAATGTTTTATTTGGCCAGAAAGTTATGCTCGTGTTAGAGTTTTTCTCTGCTGATTCGGACCGTGGAATTGACCTATTAAGTGATATAGATTAATGTGGATTTAATGGACTTGTTCTCACGAAGCAACGTAGAAAAGGTGTTTGATGGACATTCATGATCTTTTTGGATGTTGATTTTTGTTGTTTTTAATGGTTTTGGACAGTTTGTACGGGACATCAACCAGTACTATCAGTCTCATTTTATTTTATTGATAGGTTTTTTATTTTTTTGTGTATGCTGATTGGTTTTTGATTAAAGTCTTTGTGAGCGATGTAAAACATCGAGCGTGTATGATTCCAAAGGCGTCACGGTGAAACCTAGATAAGTTCGAGCAATACTTTTAGTATCTAAAAGTGCAATGACAAAGAGTGGATGAAGTTAAGCAATAAGTTTCGAGCATGAATAACTTTATGAGTGATAGTTATCTCATGACGGGGCATTTGATGTTTTTTTCATCATGAGAATATTCGGGATTCTCATTTGGTGGGTTGGGTTTTATTGATTTTGGTGTCTTGAGATTATTGGGCTCGTACTTTTGTTGTAATGAATTTTCCTTGGCGACAATCGAGTTTTTTACTCAGACATGAATTGAAAAACACGACCAGTTTACCATGACAAAAACATAGGCCAAATGTGTCTGAGGTGCATTTGACATTGTGCCTCGTCGTAGTAGATTTATTTCGATGTCGATCGAGTTTTTCTGACTCACGCATTTTAAGTGCATTTGACCTTATGTCTTCGTCATAATGAATTTATTTTAGTGTTATTGAGTTTTTTCGACTCACACATCTTGAACACATTTGGCTTTACAATTTCATTGTAGTGAATTTATTTCGGTGCTGATCGAGTTTTCCTTACACGACATATTCGATCTTGCGCTTATGTTATAATGGATTTATTTTATCGATTGAGTTTTCTCGACTTACGCATCTCAAGCACATTAAACCATGCGTATTCATCATAACAGATTTATTTCAGTGCGGATCTGACTTCCACTTTATGCTTGTGTTCCTTTGCTTATTGATAATATGCACCTCTAAGTTGCACGGGCACAATAAGTATATAAGCATCATCTATATTGATTTGATACAGAATAATAGCTGAATTGCCTACAAAAATATGATTTGAATGACAAGAAAGGCAATTGTTTCAATAAATTAACTTCAATCAAAACAACAATTACATAGAATTTCCAGCATTCCGTAGATTTAGATGTGCACAACCAATACAGGATCCATTTCCTTCATCCACTTGCCTTGCATCATGATCGAGCTCTTAAATTTACCCGCTACTTATTGCATAATTTTACATTTAGAATAACTGTTGGTTTCTTTCCTGTTTCCTCATTCAAGTCATCTCATAACCTGAAACACAGACATTCAATACCAACCAGTTGAACTAGTTGACAGTTATTGAATGAATTAGCTATAATTAGTTATGACACATATTGTCACTGAATCTGTACAATGTTTCCAGGAGTTACATTTGAGTGTCCGTAACTGCATCTGAATCTTCACGGAATGATTTCTCTGCTATACACCATCTATTGGTAGATTTGGCTTGCTATATCACTGATTATATGATTGTGAAGCATCATCTGTGGTTGGAGATGCAGGAGATGTCACAAGGCAATGCACCGTAGTCATAAAAAGGTTCAATCTTCCACTGACCCTCATGTAGACTCCACTTTGATTTGTGGGAAGTATTTATGCCTGATCAATATCCTCAAAATCAGTTTTAAATTATGCTGCATTTTCATTGCAATTGTAATACAGGTAAGAGAAGAGTCTGACAACATGCTTCTGTGTTTAGAATATCATAAAGCTAAATTTGGTGATGAAACAGGTTTCTTGAGGAATGCATAAGATAAAATTTTGCAGCAGCATTGGAAAGTTTTAAAACACTGCTTACAACTGGAAACAAGAGAACATGCATCTAAAGCCATTTTAATAAAAATGTCATGGCAGGACATTCAGATGATAAGTGATAAGAAGTAAAAAAATCTGCATCCGAGATATAAATGTAGTGATGAAACAGGTTTCTTTTGGCAGCAGCATTGGAAAGTTCCAAAAAAATATTGCTAACAAAAGGAAACAACAGAACATGCATTTAAAGCCATTAGAAAGCTGGAAATTCCATATCCATGATGAAAGGCTCACGGCATAGTTTGAGAAAATAGAGAGAAACAAAAGCAAAAGTAGGTAACAAGTATAATCACATAAACACAATTCCTAGTGGTAAAGATCTTACAGCATGGAAGACTGGATCCTTTGTTGCAGAAGAAGTGAGTTATGCTGATAATTTCCCTTTGCTTGCCGCTGCCATCCAAGTCTCTCCAGAAACTCTTCAATTAACCTGAGTATTTTATACAATAAATTCTATTTCTATCATACAAATGTTGGCAAAAAATCAATGTCAACAGAGTTGAAGGCTAGTCTTGTGCTCACAAGCTACAGATTGCCTTCTGGGAGGAAGCCACTTCACGGTCTGGAAATGAATCTTCCATTCGGAAACTCAACCAAACATACAAATCCAGCACCTAACCGAAAGACGGGAGTGATATAACATAAGTTGTACCCAAAAAAGATGATTCTGCATGGAAGCATGCTAATTATTTCTGGGCTTTAGATGTTTGATATCTATGACCAGCTATTGACTATAATCATTTTGTATAATGGCTAACTGTTCGAACTTCAAAAAGGAACACAATTTTAGTCTAGGAAGAGATTGAAGTATCATGACTTTCAAAATCAAATGCTTTCTCATCACACTATTATTGTTTTACCCCAAAAGTTCAGTTAAATAAATAACCACTCTACCATATTATGCAGTACAAATTAAAGAAACAAGAAAAATTAAATGGTTTACAAAGAAAATATGGACGACACTTACCTTGTGAACGGATTCAAGTTCCTTCAGAGCATTGTGTGATTTTGGTACCTCGAGCGTTCCAGGTGTAAATATCTCTCTGAGGCGAACAACACCCTTCTTTGCATAATTTTCTGCAAACTAATTTTTCCAAACATGTCTGGGGTGTCAGTTTTCCAATCTCAAATTGAGTCAGTATTTATGAGATGAGGAAGATAATCATCATTACCTGTGTTAAACCCTGGGCTGCAATATCATCATTCATGTCAACAGGACTGCGAAACAAGATGTTGCACTTTTATCATTCAGTATCAAGAATATTAATTATTTGAAGACCAAAAGTTACATTGCAGGAAGTTAAGAGAGAATTTCTGATAGTATTACCTGATGCAGAATAGATACTTGTCATAAAGTCCAAGGGGCAACTCATCAACAACAGCTGCAACTTTCTGTTGTCAAATGATGGATCAAGTAATGTTATATAAAGCTAAAAGAAAATCTAAATCAAGTGAAAGATAGACATTCCTCCGCTGCAATGAGTTATTAAATAGCTCATTAGGATAGTAACAAATTGATATTGCTACATACTACACCATTGTTTAAAAGTTGGAGTGTCACAGCCACACAAGAGCTTGCAAGCTTCTGTACGCAGGACGTCTTTTGAGGTCCATCTCAATGCAAAACAGTGTCATAACCCATGGTTGACAATACCTCGTGAATCCAAAAGGTGACAAATGTGTGCCTTATTGGCTTAAGGAATATGAAGGATACAAAAACCCCATGATTCTTTAAATAATCGATCAGACCAGTATGTACTGACCAATATTTATTGGTCTGATAATCTGATTAAGTACCTATATTGAAAGTTTGAAACATATATAATTTGCTTTTATTATTTTATTCACTGATACCAAGTGGTAAAGTTCAATATACTTTCTCCTTGGAATGCTCTTTGGGCAAAAGATAAAACCGTGTAGCCCATAGTCCAAAGTGGATAACACCTCATTGGCCCCGTGCTCAGGTCTGACAAACAAGGCAACTTGTCAACATGGATACCATATAGCACTGTTCCACTCGATGATTAAAGGGTACACTAAAACCCCCTCATATACCATTTGTGGCTAAATATTAGACTTAAGCAATCTCAATATAAGGAATCCACAATAAACATCAATAGTGAAATTCACTAATCCTTACCAAATCCAATTTTCTTCTCCTAGAAAAATTGGCCCATCTAGGGAGACTACCAGCGTGCATGCCTTTTGACATGCCTCTTCACCGACGTTACTAATAAAGCATATTTGATGGTAATTCTTACCCAGCAAGTACATTGGATAGTGATCTAATCATCCTGTCAGTTCCATCATATGGCAGCACAACAAAGTATATGATAAATTTACCCAGTGAATAGCTCTCAGACGTCAGAAGTATCTGTGGCTAGAATAAGATTTGAGTTTAAAGGTGTAGACTATGAGCAAAAGGGTTGAATGTCCAGTGTCGGATGACAAAATTTTCTACATAGACTCGGGTATATACATATTCTTGAAAATTTTCACCATAAGTAACTAACCACAATAAGCATTATTGCAGATGAGAACTTTATTAATAGTTCTCCAAATAGTCTTGCTTCAGAAAAAAATTCAGAAAATAACCTGCTGAAAATCAAATCATAGATCGAGCTTCTGAAGTGGAAATAGATGGACTTGTCTTTATGAACATAGTAAAGGCCAGGTGAAACAGATACATAGGCCACTTTGGCCTCATAACTAATAAAGCAATTTGGCCCATCTTACATATGATGCTCTTAAATCATGACGAAGGACTTTGTTTTTTAGAATGCTCAACCATGCAATGAGCCATGAGGTGACAAGTTTGTAGGGGAGAGAACAATGTGCGGATGGAAGTTTGTTCTCCCTCTTTCTTCCTTTTCTCTTTCAATTGTAAAGCCAGTATCAAAATGGTGACATGTGGATGGTGCATACTCATCCAGTTGACATAAGACATGGCATCAACAACTTAATTTTCCATAAAAACTTCATCTAATTATCATGGAAGGATCTCATATCACTCCTGCTTGTAAAGAGAAGTTGATAAATGCCGACAAATGACTTGAAATCAGCATGAGTAGTGCCATCAAAATTAAAATCCTTGATCACCAGTACCTAATAATGATGTAAAGAATTAGGTGAACAGATAAATTCCAATGGTTATTATCCCGTGCTTGTTTACAGCAAATGAGGCCAAACTTGGGCTGAGGAAGAATTGGCTGCTCTTGTCATTGTGATTAAAGATTGGCTTCCTATGGTCAGATGCTCTAATTCGGTCATATGCTGTAATTCATAATCATTTGAATTTTTCCCAAAGATCTACAAAATTAACTTACAATAAATAAATAAGATTTCCCAAGAAAAGAAGGGCCGATATGTACTCTTTTGCAGTCAATTTGATATGACAGATCACTGGGTTCAAATAGATGGAAAGCAGCATTCCAGTGGCTGAACCTTTGATCACAACGCAGCATCAACATCACATTGATGTTGAGATTCAGAATTAACTTAAACAAACTACACACCAGACATCTCCTAATGGAGCTAACGTCATATCTTGCTGCTAGATATTTAGACAAGTTATAACAATGTGACATCTAGAGATTAAAGTTAATGTAACAATCTCATCATGAAGTTTTTTCTTTTTTATGTCATCATGAAATTAGAAAAGATAAAATAATTATTGTTAGTATCATAAGAAAAGGTGGAGCAAGACCTAAACAGTTCTTAATAGAAACTATAAATAAAGACTTAAATATTCTTAACTAAATACATGAATTTTTACGGATCCCAATGATGGGAAAAGATTCATATAGCCAACCCCAAATAGTTGGGACTTATTGCTTTGTTGTTAGTGTTGTTGCTGGTTGATGCTGTAACTTCTAAAATTATGATCTAATTAATTCTAATTAATTCTTTTCATTATCTTGAAATGCTACATTATACTATATAACTATAAAACACAAATATGATAAGTGTTTGCAGTAAGTGTTTGCAGAGCTCTCATAGAAGACTACTTACTAGCATTTCCTCGCAGTCAGCAATGAAGTAATCTGGAGAAAGTTTTGCCTTCTCTAAGAATTGTTCCTGCACTGGATAGTTGTAAAATTAAAAACTAACATTGTTCATAACCATATCTGCAATCAGTGCTGGTTGTTAAGTAATTAAATCAAATGTACTTGAACAACATATTAACAAAGGAAGTTAATAAGAATATATCAATCACAGTTATGGATAAATCCCCGGTTAAAAAAAAAACTTTTCTCTTATTGTCCCAGAGTTACAAATTATTACATGAATTAGGGAGCATGACATTTCACAACTAATTAACAGTGAAAACTAAAAGGAGATGGCTTTAGCTAGAAATTCAGCTGGTTGAACAAACGAAAACTTCATCATTCTTTGAGCTAGATAACATGACATCCAAGCATCATAATTTATTTTACAAGGCAACAACTACTGAGATCAAACCATTACAGGAAGTGTCACTTGGAAGATGCAAAGAAACATGTATAACTACTCTCAACAAGTAAAAGCAAACAAGAAAGAAAAATAAATAAATATATCTTAGTGGAAATCTTATAACTGCACAGGGAAACTTATTATGTTTTGACTGAAACTTATATTGTTGCTCACAGCTTCATAAACCATCATAACTACATGAATTTATTCACACTAATTCTTAAATTTCCCAAACAACAATACTGATAAAAAATAAAACAACAAAATTTCTGAAGCATTTATTTCAACTAGACCATGCTGCAAAATAATCCATACTTGAATTGCAGCTATGTGCCCTGCTGTAATGCCTATGGATTCAGAGAATCTACCATAAACCAATTTCCTGAACCCCTCATCCAAACCCTAAAAGGTACCAAGAGACAAAAATGCTGAGACTCGAGAACTTTACATACCAGTATGCCATGGAAGCCCATTCTTGAATGTAATCGTGAGTATAAAGACAAAAGATCAAATGTTGGAAACAGTCCAGCACGCTGCAGAACAAAAGACAACCTCTAATTAAATTAACAACCATACAAGATATCAATGATATTACTAAATACTACTCAATAGGTGATGTATAAAATCACCAAGTCAAAGTTATTCCACACCATTTTCTAATGGATCAACCTTTTTGGGTTTTTCCCCTTAGTTTGTCCTGACTTTGCCCATTTTCCTTCCACATGTTAGTTTAAATCCCATTGTGCCCAACACCTATGGGGTCATTTGCTTACCGTCCATTTCAGTTAGTAAAAACAAGGCATTGGGATTCTAAATAAAAGACCTAATTCAGAATGGCAAAATTTTTGCAAAATATGCTTTTGTAAAAGATAGTTTTAATAGTTACTAATTTAAGTTCAACCATCAAGGCTCAGATTTTTTTCCCTATGAAGGAAGCAAAACTTGTGGTTCTAGGTTCTAACCAATCAATACAAGCAGACATATTAACAATATAAGTTAGGTCCATTTCAAGAAATCTTGACCATGGGCATGTCAGGTTCATTTCAGCCTTAGGTACCCGTAGGTCCCGTACTAATCCAATTCATTAACCCAGCTGGTTGACACTCATGCACATGATTCTAGTATCTTATTATGGAACTCATCATAACCCACATGCTCTTGATGCAATTCCTAAGAACACACACACGAGAAAGAAATAACATTTAGATGACTGTCATATGCAATCTTTTCCGAAAAATTAGCTTTGAATTTTAAAGTCTAAAACTCATTGAATAAACAAATGCCAATACCAGACAAAGAATATTTATGTAAATTATCCCAATACCAAAAAAAAGACATCTATTCCAATATGACACCTCTAGCATGAGGTTTCAGCTTACATGAGGAAGCCGCATTTTTATAATCAGAAATGATACACTACATAAGCTTTTCCAAGAATAAATGAAATTAAGATGCAATCAGAAATGACAACATTAGAATGCATGCACATACACATAAGATATCAGAAAGAACACTCCTAAAAGTTGCCATGGCAGTTTAAAGTCCCAACATTTTAGGCTGATTTAAAAAACTATGGCGAAAAGAATTACCTCTAAAAGAGGAGAAGAAGATTCCAAAGATGAATGGAGCAAAGGTAAATCTTCAGCATCGATGCAGGTCACTTCACCACTAGAAAATTTTGAACCATACCTTCCAGCCCTCCCTAAAACAAGTAACTCAATATGTCATGAAATGCATTAGGCACATTAAACAAAAGAGCTACACATATTTTGAGATATAGTCTTTTAGGAAATTAAGCCATTAATGATGGATGTTGCCAACAGATTCATCAAGTTGCAAACAGACATGTTTTGAAATCAACAAGTCAATACATTCACATGTAGGCAGTAATATGGGAAGCTGCAACAATTATATAAAATAATTGACTGGTTCAGATGAGCCATTAAGAAGTGTGGATCACATGGCAAGCAAGTAACCCTACTGGAGGCTGTGATCAAAGTTCAGGTGTCAATGAGATGATGACACATATACTAGCAATTGAATTCTCCAAACACATCTGAGGATATCATATTCAAAATCCAAATAATCTGATTTGTACAAGATGGATGCCAATCATATTCCTAGAATAACATCTTTTAACAATTTTCTTTACTTTACTGACACCTCTTCTCATTTGCTATATGATGATGGTCTTTTTTGTCAACCTACTGAGTTGCATGAAAGGAGCTGATCTCACCTTCACACTCTGCCTAAAACTACCCCTCAGAGATGAGAAGCTTGGAGTGTGAATTGACGTGAGAACTTTTTTCTGCAACCACAGAAGGAAAGCACCAGGAATATGCCTAGTGTGACACCCCTCTAACCAATGATTTAAATAGATGCTTGGGAGCTCGCCTAAGCGCTCGGGTGAGGCGAGGCGAGGCCTGAGCGCCTCATGTGTGGATCAGGCGGTGCGCTTCAATGAGGCGCTACCTGGGCGCTTGCTCGAACCCAGGCACTGGGAGCTTCGGTCAAGCGCCCAGTTCAATTAAGCGAACCGAACCGATTTAAGTCTGATTCGATTTGTAGTTTCTTACCTCAAAAGCCATGCTTCACACTTGCGCGACCCCGAGGAACCCTAGCGTTGCTCCTGCCTTTGCCGCTGACACTTTCTACCATTGCCTTCGCCGCAGATGCAGCAAACTGAGCCTTCCTATGTTGTAGACGGACAAGTTCGACGACACCCGTAGCTTCCTTCCATTGTCGAGAGAGAGGACCGCAGGTTCCTCCGCCATCAACGGACGCCCTTTGGAGCTTACGTCGCTGCCGCTGCTACTGTCTGCAACTTTCATCACTGTCGCTGCTACTGTCCGCAGCTTCCGTCGTTGCCACCACTACTGTTCGCAGCTTTCACCACTGTGACTGCTGCTGTCCGCAACTTCCCTCACTGCCGCTGCTACTGTCCACGGCTACCGCCACTATCGTTGTTGTCGTTCGCAGCGCTGCCACAACTATCTTAAACTAATCCTCCACCGCTGCTACTATCTCCCTCTGTTACTGCTAACATTTTTTTCTCTCCCTTCTAACTTTAAGTAATATACTGTTAACAATATATGTTTAATTTAATATCATATTTTTATTTAAATAATTATATTTTAAATTATATTATATATTTTTATATTTTAATGAATATTTTTTTCTTTCCCTCTAACTTAAGTAATATACTGTTAATAGTGTATTTTTAATTTAATATCATATTTTTATTTAAATAATTATATTTTTAGTTATATTATATATTTTTTATATTTTTATATTTTAGAGTGCCTCGTTTCACTCAGGCGAGCGCTTAGTGCTTTTTAAATCACTATCTCTAATATTATAAGATGATGAAGAGAGAGAGAAGAAAGCCGAAGAATGATCAAGATAACTAGAATGCCTTACATATGCACCAATTTAAAGCAGGGCTCCTCTTTTGACCTCCCCTATGTGAGTCAGAGCAGCCTCTATTGACATATTTCCTTCTGCCCAGATTATTTCCACCAAGCTCACATGGGAGATGGTCCAAAAGTAGTGTGGTGGAGCCACTCAATGGTTGTTGGCTGACCTGGCCATCGTCCAGGTGTGTTTATCCTTAAAATTAACAAGATTTACTGGAACTTTGCTTCTTCCTTAAAATTAACATAGGCATGTGAGCCATTTCTATAAGTTAAAGATGGAGGAGATTCTTTCACTGACTACCTGGCCTTGCACAGCCACCTGCTAACTTTGCAGAAGCACCACCGAGAACAGCAATCACCTCTACCAGTGACACTTTATTAAAGGAATCTATGCCAATACATCCTGCAAGCTCAATTCACCCCCTATCTCCATGTGAATAATCAAGAAGATCAAAATGGTTAGACATTGTGGTTGGAACTAGCCGCCACATGCTAGTGTATCAAAGAATTAAACATCATCAACAAAAGAATCAACCTCCATAGCAAAATGTACTAATACCAAATCACTGAGGTTGTTCCTTCAGACAAAGGACCACCCACCATAATAATGTCATATTCATAAGCTCCCTCTCTTATCTACACTGTCTGCCAATTATGACCTTTCTCTCCAATTATACTCCTCTCTTCTACCTCTATTTCTTCGGAAGAGAATTTACAGCTTCATACATTCTCTTGAGATATTGGATCAAATGGGACAGTGTCCATTAATCTGCAAACACAAGTCCCTCCAATCTCTAAAGGTTCTTTTGTCCATTATCCTGATTCCACAGCCACTAGCATGGGAGGGTGTAACTTCCAATAACTCTTACATGGTGCATTTACTTGATTAGAGAACTGATGAATATAAGGCTTCCAATATTCCAGGCATTATCACCAACCTAATGCTATTCAGCTAAAGCATATTTTCCCTAGACCTTCTGGTAAAAATTCCACATTTAATATTCTTGGTTGATAAGCAAGATACAAAAGCACATACTAAACAGTAAATATCATGTAATCACTTCAATAAATGCTGGAAACAATTCTGTGTATTATACTAAAATACTAGCATAACCAAACTATTTCCTTTCAATTTGCCATGTTATGCTTGGATGAAAATACAGTCATTATTATCTCAGAACTAAAATGAATATCAAAAACTAGATAATAAGTGATACCTGCAATCTGCTTGATTTCTGGGACTGTGAGTTCTCGGGTATATTGACCATCAAACTTCTTCAGAGTTGAAAAGATGATCCTAGATATGTTGAGATTGAGACCCATTCCAATGGCATCACTCGCTACAAGAATGTCAAACTTGCTGCTTTCATCATTGAACATCTTTGCCTGCAAGCTTCAAGCATTTCAATTCGTTGGTAACAAATAGAACCAACAACTAAACACAATAAATAGATACACTATGCAATGAACATCTTTGCCTGCAAGGTTCAAGCATTTCAAATGGCTGAAATCAAATAGCACCAGCAACTAAACACAATATGTAGAAACATTATGTGATGTGGTAAAATGTTGTTCAAATGACACTTATGTCTGCCATCAAGATTGTCTTATGAATATCAGTATCCAAAAATTCATAACTTTCATGGTATAAATCTTTTAGGTATAAGTCAGGTCCTGATATAAGCAAGAATTTAGCATATCTTACCATGACATGATTATTTAACATAAAGGAGGAAGGTCAAAGAAAAGCAGGATTAGCAAAACTAGAGTGAATGAAATAATGTATATCACATTCTTTAGGTTCACTTGAAGAATGGCAATTTTTATTTTTGTTTTGTTATAATTCCTCACAGCTAGATGACCTATTTCTGTTTGAAGGATAGTGTTTAATATGGAATTGGATATTTTAATTATTTGCTAAAACTTTTGTTTAGTTGAATGCTTAAAGAGGACACCAGTCAGCTCTTAGATCAAGTAGATAATACACTCCTTGAGCTGAAGGCAGTGAACTAGAATCAGGCCACTGAGTTCTGGTTTGCTGCATCATGTTATCTGATAACATGCCAAGCTATGAGCAAAGGCATGTTAGCAACAATATACATGTGAAGAACCCATAAGGAAAGTTAGCTCTATGAACACCAAATGTAAGTATGCATCCTTGTTTCATGCCAATGACCTTAGTTATGGAATTTTGGGAAAAAAGAAGCTCAAGCTAAGCAGAAAAAGTTCGAGAGGCTTGTGATAATTTTCAAGAAACCATACAAAAATAAACAAACATGTCAAAAGAAGTACTGGTTTCAAGTGTATATTCTTTTTAACAAGTTAACTAGAATATGGCACTGCATTTACCATGACACTTTTTTGCTATTTAAACAAAGACATGTTGTTCAGGTCATATGGCAAGCATTAAAAGTAAGGACAGCCCACCTGTTTTGTTCTAGTCTCTGGTGGCAGTGAGCCATAGACTACAGAACAGAGATGTTTCCCTCCAGACTCTACTTTCTTCTACATACCAATAAAAAAGGTGGAGAATGAGAGAGAGTGTAATAGAACACATATAGATAAATGTGATACTGCATTGTACTTTCATTATACATATAGTGTTGTCTTCCCGAAAAATATATGAAAAAAAGAGAAATGAATAATATTGCAGAACATTTCTGTAGTTAATAAGTTGATTAGAAAATGTAAACACTTAATATGAACTTGCAAAAGTCATCTTCCGGTGCATTAATAATAAGCATATACATCAGGTATTAAAAAGAGGAACACCTAAAATGACTATTAGAGCAATAAATAAACAATTTGGTGGTTCTTATCCCACTAAAATTCAAATGACGGTAAACAGATGCATGTAGCTTATCCCAAACAATTAAATGTTATGCTTGTGGACCTTGTGGTAGTATAATGCATTAGTTGCAATATGTTATGATTAACCAGAATGCTTCTGATGTTGCGTTCAACAGAGTTCAATCACAGTAAAAAGATAAATACGTAGGATCTTACACTCATTGTTATATGATGAATAAGTTGCAATATTTTATGATGAATCAATTTAGTTAAACAACATATACCATGCTTTTGGATTAAAAATTAAATCTGGCGAATGATGTAAATAAGACCATATATCAAGGTGTGCAAAACCACCCAAGTGCTTAAATAATTTAATTATTTGGAAAGTATAGCAAAATATGCATAAAAAATGCTCTAAACATCCTAGTTTATCAACTTGAATGCAAGGCACAAGTTAAAGAAAACAACCTAATTGTGCTGAACTTGTAATATTATGGTTGATATAGTTACCTTCTATTGCACAAAAAATAAATAGTTATTAAAAATTTAAAGGTGACCTTTAGCTTATATATCTCGCGTCGTGAGAAAGTCACAATACAATCACCATTTCTGATGTTGGAGAAAGAACCAAGCGGAAATTTCAAAGGAGTCAGTGGAGACAACCTCTCATAATATTGAACCTGAGCATAGATGAGGAAAAAAATTGTAATCTATCAAAGAAGTTACATACACCCTAAGAAATCTGCAAAATCAGTAAATATTTAAATGATGCTGGTAAAGGTATATTTAAGCATACTATTTTGGTTTAATTGATATAATATTGACAAAGGACTAGAATGTCAACTGCATTGTGATTCATTACAGTGAGGAAGAAAAAGGATAAATAGTTTGAGCAAATAATACAACTGATACAGTGGTTATAAGGGCACACAAAGTACAAGCAACAAATAATGAACGGACTTCTCAAGTACCCCATAGACTAGCAGCATCCATACTCAAGAAGTCAAACAGAAATGGAGAACATGAAGGATTGGGTGCATTTCTTTTCATTGCTGAAATTTCCTGATTACATAAATTGTTTAATAATTTGAATAGGTAATTTCTCTTCAGTGGACAAACCTTGGTGCCTCAATGAAGTTCAACTTCAGAAGTTGTTCCTAAATGACCATAGTACCCAGGATTCATATCTAGTAACAACCTCTTTGCTTGCAGGGGTAAGGCTACATATATTGGTCTTCCCAATACCTTGCATTGGCAGAGCATATGCAAGGCAGAGCCTCATATGCTACATCCTTAGTTCACTTCAATGAGAATACTGATTAAGTAAACAATTCCAAATAATGCCTAGTGGTGTGGCATGAGTAGTATAATTAGTAAACATCAAACACGATGAACAGTTAAGACGGTTAAAAGGATGAGATCTTGTATATCAAGAAATTTCAACTGAAAACAAAGAGATGGTAAATAATCTAATAACACCCATGAACTAGATCTTAGATTTGATTACTATCAACTCTTTCTGAAGAAGTAGCAAGAAATATTATGGTGTTTCAATTCCAAAGTGAACCTGGATTCCCAATCATAACAATTCACTTGCTAAATCTCAAAACACCAAATTTTCCACAACAATCATTAAAATGAAAATGTTACATCTACATCTATTTTATATAAATAGAATATACTGACTTAGAGTCAAAATTAATCTTGGGAGGACATCTGCAACACACACAAACTAGAAGGGTTAAACATGCAGTTAAAAGTTAAAACCTTCAATGCTATGACCATAAAGCATATGAAATTCGTTAGGCGAAATGAGATCATCAACTATAATACTAAGCATACCATTTATCTGTGGTATAAGGTATCTAATAGCTAAGTATCTAATTATATTAAACAACTAAATAACCTTTATCACATCGCCAGTCACTTCAATTATTCTTTGAACAAGAGGAACTGCTGCAGGATCTCCACAGAGATGAAGTTCATCAGCAGAAATCCCTAATAGTGCACGCGTAAATGAAAATCCCCTTGTTCTACACCCCACCATCTAAAATACCAAAGTAAAAGATTAAATTAAACAAAAGTCAAATATAGCATATAAGAACAACTAATTTCTTCTTATGATTGTAAAACCCAACCAACAAAAAAATACTAGGAATCTTATAAAACAACTAAAAATTTTCTACTGATCCTGATTACATTTACATGAAAATGATATTTCATCGACAATAACAAACACAATAGTTTCTTTCATATTAACAAAGGCTGAAGAGATCAAACAGAAAAAAAATGAACTTTCACTAATAAGTTATGTTTAAGCTGTAAGAGAAAATACCAAAGCGTCAAACTCTACATCATGCTGACTTTCTGTAGGAGTTTTATGTGCCAATTGCAAGCTCCATTGGCTTGCATGGCTCAGTGTTATAGACACTAACATGGACCCAACTAAGCTTATCAATAGATCCTGGAAGATGACAAGGTGCATGTTAGTCTAACATAGCATGGCATGACTCCACACACATTATTCAGACCTTTGATAAGCACGAACATAAGAAATTTTAAAAAATATGGCTAATCATGATTTGGATTAACTAATCTGAATTGGGATACATAAAAACTTATTCTAATTTGTCCATTTTTTTAACCTCATCAATTTGAGACCAAATTTGGCCATCCAAGGTGGGTTAAACCAAGATTTAGCAATTTATATATCAGGGGCCATCATAGGAAAGCATCTTACATATGTTTATTGTTTAAAAACAGAAATATATTATTATGGGCATCAAATAGATCCACAATTTTGTAATTAACTTTTATATTTGTATTTTTTTGTCAAATATTTCAAAAAAAGGTCAGCTGATTAAATTTTAATATTTACTAATCGTTAGCTGCTCTGATTGGACCTCTGGATCACTTAAACTGGCCAATGTGGATATTATTAATGATAAGTCTCGATCCTATTCACAATATGTAGCCCTTGATGACAAACCAATCGATTACATATCTTAGTATATAGCCCTCAGATATTGATAGTTATTCTGGAATCTAAACTAGAAGCCTATAATAAGCAATAAAAATATTAGCCAAGATCAAGGTTCGCCTTATCGGTCCATACCGGTATACCGACATATGGTACATGAGGACATACCAATATATTGCCTGTACCGATTCCCTATTAGACCACATGTACCACTCATACTGAGCAGTACGCCATGATATGGTGAACCTTGCCTAAGATGATAGTAATGGTAAAGATAGTATATAAATCCAGAAATTTGATGCAAAAGAGTGTCCTCATGCTTTTAAGTTAAAAATAACTAGAAATTGCAACACACACCTGGATTTCATCAACAACAGCACACTGATATTCACTGGTTACATCAGCCATTTCAACAGTTACTGAGCTGTGCCTAGCACCATCAATGTCCTCTCTTTCTTGTCCAGTAATCAGATTACAAGGAACATTTGCTTTATTTAACCTTTGTGCCACCTCCCATGCCAATAACCTTAGAGGTCCACAATATACTCCTTCAACAAATTACAATTCTATATAAATTTAGTTTCAGTGCACACGAACATATAATTTAAACAGAAAATAAGATTATAGCACCTGAGGAGCTTGATTCTAAACACTTGAGAGCATTATGAGTTTTCCCACTATTTGTAGGTCCAACGTGCAAAAATATATTCCGTTTCTTTCTCCGAGCAAGCGGATACCATGTATGAGGATGACTGCAATCAAGTACATATTCAGGGATGATACTTCCTGTCTAAGAATGCTTAATAATATAGGTATTAAGTCACACAAACATGAAAGAAACATATCAATGCTGGCCCATTATGTTGAATTAGTTCCAGTAAGTAACCACGTTAAGTTTGTTCCACTAGAACATGGGTGGCAAGGGGTCGAGATAGAACAGCCTTGCTAAATACATCAATGGAACTCTGTACATTTAACCCTCCCCAAGACCTATATTAGCAGAAAGAATTTTCATGTACCATGCCACCATTTCTTGGTTCAGATGCATCCAAAATGTTTCATTCATTGATTCTGTGCAAAGCTGTTTTACCTCCACAATATATGCTAGATAAAGTGCCATAAATATCCCTATTATGTCAACTGATACCAAACCTAGACCAGGAATTTCCTAGCTATGCAGATGTGTCTAAGCAGAAAGGACAACAACTAAAAGTTGTATGGAACCATGAACGAGCATCCTAAACACACAACCTTACTATATGTTTAGAATGTAGGTACTGAAACTCATGAGCTATATGCAATACTGACGCATCCTGATGTTTTATGTTCAAAATCAAAAGGTCAAGCACTGCATCCTGAGAAAAATAAAATGGGTAATGAAGTGGTCTACATCTTGTACAATATCTTTCTTAAAACATGGTAGCTATGCCACAAAAGGTAAACAAACTATGTATTATTGCACAGACACAAACAAAGTGCTATGCTACAAGTACAATGAATGTTGGAAGAAAATAGGAGAATGTTACTGAATGCAGCACAATAAAGTGAACAAAGAACATAGAGAATAGCAGAATGGAAAAATAAAACTCAGAAGCTTAACAACAGATACCCAATTTTTGTTGGTCTTTTTGGCTAACCTTTAGCTTCTAAACAACACAGACTGAATGTAGTTAAAAAATTCTTGACCTTCATGAGGAGAAACCAAAAATTAAGAGCACAAGATGGAACAAACTCTATCATATACAAAGTTGAACTATGTTTAGATAATAAAAGGACCTAAGATTCTTTAAATTATCTAAAATCCAAAGTCTCACGCCTATCCAGTAAGTTGTAAACCAGGCCAAATTATTTCTATAAAATAGATTCTACATCAAGAATAGAATATGTTCTTTGGGAGTTTAAACACACACCTATAACAGCTAACAACTTTCAGAATAAATTCTAGCAAGGACACTAACATTGAGAAGTACAATAATCAAGTAGACAAAAGATGACAAAATGAAAATTTGTTCAAGTATATCAGTGGGAAACTAATAAACAGAGAAATGGGGAACAAGGAATCCACGGTCATGTGGAGAACAAAGAAAATTTAGCAACATTAGAAGCTACAAGGAAAATCTAGAAAGCATCCGAATTGCAACATGCTGTATTCAGTAGGAACAATTAGCTAAAAATCTTGTAAAACTGAACCTACATATGGCTGCAAGTCCACAAGGCTAGTCATGGAGAATAAACAAGTACAAAAGGCAACTGAAGTGAACTAGACAATAGGGGCGGTAGGATCATGAGATTGTGCCTCACTCAATAACAAAATAAAACTGAAATTCACATAAAAAACTTGCTGAAAATTTTCCAATAATGCTAAACATGCAGAAAATTCTTACGTCAAGTCAGTCAAGTCAAACTTCCCTGAGCTCTGGAAACTGCTCAAACACCTCAAACCAGAAAAAGCATGTAAACGTAATTGGAAATCCAACTTCAGGAAAATAGAGCAAGACATGCTATCTGCAAAATACATACCATATTCAACTAAAATAATTCATAACCTTGCAATTTAGCTACAAACTAAAGCCTAAGATACTTCCGTTCTCAAGAAAATAAGGAGATTATTATATCTACAACAACAGCAACAATAACACCAATGCCAAACCCAAGGCTGAATGAAAAAATGGTCAGATTTCATTAGGCCACCCAGTGTGGAACTGTTCCAGAACTAACAAGAACAAAATCATTTTTTAGGGTAAAAAATTGACTATAAAAATATTTTTAAAATGTTCCAAGCATCTTCAACGGCCAAAATAAGAAAATTTACACCTCTAGATACAGAATAACCTATACAAAATTCGAAGAATATTCTTACTCAGTTTTTATATATCAAATTTATCATAAGAACTTAATTAGGTTAAATGGAAAAGTTATATTGGTATTTGGAACATGTGTTCTATTGACAAAAGCAGAATGTTTGGCAAAACACAGTGCATAGACAAAAAAAAAAACATGAAGACTTCATTACTTGGACCAAAGAGAATCCTTCCAATTGACATCAAACTACACATAGCCTACCATGCTGGATGCATGTATCATAGAAACGTCTGGGGCAGCTGACTGTAGAAACATGACATGAATCTGATTTGGCTGTAATAGCTTGCCAACTAATGAATATATGATAATGAACAATCTTATGTTGTAGGTCATCACAAAGATGTTGAGTCTTCATCATTTTCAAATTGGGATGGTCCACCAAATCCTTTTTCCTTAGAATTGGATTGATTGCCGTAGTCTTCCTTGTCAATGGTTCCCTACTCATCATATGTTGGGAAGGTTTGCCTTTTGATAAATGTGTCAACATATTCTTATCATCTAAAATTCTGTTAGAAACAGAACCTTTTAAATAGTTTCCCTTATTACCTAATTCAGGGAAACAAATTTAGAAGAAGTTTTTTTAGCTTACCCCACCTGCGGTGAAGATTCCAGTGTAGCTTTTATTACTACATTGTAAGGGCAACAGGATCTGTTGGTGGCCGTCATTCACCTCCTTCCTCAAAAGAAAGCTCGGTATCATTCCCAGCTGCGCTTTCTTATAAATATGGGTAATCAGGCAAAGCTACTAACATGTGTTAAGAAACGTTGTCCCATACAAATCAGTACTCATCGAGTTCGTTATCTATTACATTGCCCAGTGGAACTAATTGGAGCATTTGAACCTAATAACTCAAATCACAAAAAATAAAAAATAAAAAAACCCAAAAAAAGGTCCACGGGCAGTGTCTAGAACGCCCAAAAGGAAGAACTCTGCGATTCAGAAGAAGAAAGCTTATCTCTTCGAAACAAAACCTCGTAATTTGGGCGGAGTTGAAGAGGAGAGTCGCCAGCGAAGAAAGGAGCAAGACATCTGCGCGTTCGCTTTGATCTGCGATCCAAGCGAGGTCAAGAAGACATGGCGACGAATAAGTCGGCAACGGTAGTGGGCCAGGAGAGATCCAAGGAGGGATGTGAGTTGAAGAGAGGAATGGTAGGAAGGAAGGGGGAGAGAGTCGCGGCCGTAACTCCACGGGTAGGAACTTCGAATCTTCTTTCGGCGTGCCTATGGTAGGCCTGTCGAGAAAGGCCTATTTGGGCCGCCAATTGAAATATCCTGGTCCATTGTACACAAACTAGTTCTTCTGCACGTGCATAACACGTGTCCATACACACGAAGTAACCCGCAGCAGATTTGCTCTTTCGGATAAACCGGCTCTTTTGCACGTGCAGTACACGTGAGAATATAATTAAGGCAAGATTATATTATATAGCAGAGCAAACTCAATTAGTTATACTAATGCATTTAATTTCCATTAGCCACTGCCCAATAAAAACTCGTTATGATATTAAAAATATTTTAGATATTTATTTTTGCATGTATTTGAAAAATGATTAACGTCGATGATCTAAGACGGATGTTAATGTAAATGGCACATGCAAAACGTTTTAGTGTTTGAAGAGGCTGTCAAATATGCTAATTTCAGAAATTACTTGAAAGTCAAAGATCACATTTTTCCTTACATTTGGGGTCAATCTAAAATATGCAACAATTTTCTTATTCGCACAAATAAATGTAAATAAAATCCTTCAGTCAAAATAGATTATTTCATGGAAGGACTTAACGCAAATAACAAAAGAAAAATGGCCGAAATGTAAACTAACAACACACCGATAGCAAAAGCAAGAAAACGATATAAAAAAGGAGTCGAACAGTGTCAGAGAAAGCATCCAGCCATTCAATGCGATTGCCTTGATCAATGAGGAAAAGGTTGCGGTCATCACCTCTCATCCAAAAGGGTCTCAGTACTGCCCGCAATTAGTTCCTGTTTTGGTGGTCCATGGAGAAAACCTTCCTGTATGTTTTAGCTCATTATGTGAAGGAGAACGACAGGAAAGAAGATACAAACCGTGCATCTGTGTGATACCGTCAGGTTAACACTCAGAGCCACAGTGACTTCCTAGTTGGAAAGATACGTGAACAGTAACAGGACAACGACAATGGAGGGAGGAAGAAAAGCCTAAGTCCATGAGTAGAAAACTGGAAGCTTGATATGAGACAGATAGTGAAAGCAAGTAATATGGTAGAGGTCTCAGAGCTGAACTCTGAAAAGCCCTGAGGCAGTGATACTTTTACCTGGAGTAGGGGCCTTCCATGATCTGCTCTAGAATAAATCCAAGGGATGGTGCATTGAAGCTTTTCAACAAGACAGTGACATCAATCTGTGGTCCAGCATGTCTGAGACCAGTCCAGTTGAATAGACATGCAGCCAAAAGTGAAGCTATCTATCCGTCTCTGTTAACCCCCTCGGCAGCGTGGTCATCAGCAGCTACTTGCTTACTGTAGCATTTCATCAAACGTGTATGTGGATCTCATGGGAGCCACTGGTTCGTAATGTCACCAGTTGGGCCATTACAGGACAACATCAGGTCTACTAAGTTCTCAGTATCTTATCAGTTCTTACAGACATGCTCGTCTGAGACAGTTGTTGATGCTGATACCTCATCAGTATTAGCAAGACAGGGTCGGCCTGCAATGGATCTTCTGCTTGCCTTTCCATTTGACTCATCTTTGTGGCACCCATGCTTCCACATTGAATCTAAACCTTGGTTATTGTTGATAAAAATAATTATTAAAATTTTTTTATTAAAGTAACTTTAGCTTGAATACATTAATATATATATCTCTTTCCTATTTATACAGATCAGAAGAAAAGATTTTCCTCAATAGAATAAAAGATGTAAAGTGATAACGAGAAGAGAGCTTACTCTACGTACTCTAGGTAAGTAGCTCTGATATCATGATAAAAAAAATAGAAGATAAAAAAAATTATTAAAATTTTTTTATTAAAGTAACTTTAGTTTGAATACATTAACATGTTCCTCGTAGAAAGATTTCCTCATATATAGTTGGAGAAATCCTCGACAAATAAAGGATTTCCTTAACAAAATCTTATCTTCTATCAATTGTCTCATCAAAGTCTCGGTCTGAAGTCTGAGGAACTCTCATACAAAGCAACGTCTTCACTTCCTCTGAGAGGAAGGATTCATAATCCGAAAATTCCAAATGCATGCTAAGACCACCGTACACAATTTCTTTCTCGATGGCTCATGTGGTTTTGGATTTGATTAGATAGGTTGATGGGGAAGATCACATGGCGAATGCCAACTCATTGAAAGTGAGTTGGATTGGACATGTAGACGTAATTGTCCGTGTTCTTTTCAGTGTCATTCTCCTCAATGAGAGAGAGAGAGAGAAGTTGAATTATTAGCTTATATAATTTGAAGTCTTCCAATTAAATCCGTTTATATTGCTTGAAATAGTATGCAAAAGCATAGTCTGGACCAGTGCTTAACCTCAGTCCATCCGGATATTAGTGTTGCAAACTCGGTAGGGACGGCGCTTCCCCTAAAGGATGTTGGGCTTTTAATTCGGTCGGTACAAAGGACATGCCTTTGTGACAGTCATAAAATAAAAGAAAAGAAAAAGACAATAACAAAACAACAAAAAGTGAAAGAATACCGCAATCAATCATACAAACAATTCCAACCAAATCGTGTTCTCTTAATCACTCTTATTCTGTTATTTTCTCTTTTTTTCCTGTATTTACATATTTAATATTCTCGATAATTAAGTTTTAAAATTATAATTAGTATTTAATATTCTCGATATTATATCTTTTGACATAATAATTTAAAATATTAAACTTCTTTAAAAATACAAATATCATGAAACATGCCCTCGTCAATTAATATATTATGATTCCTGTAAGCTTTATGAAATTTAAATTAATTCATGCCTTTTTAAATTCATCAATTAATATATCAAAAATAAGGATAAATTAAAAATTAAAAAAAAATATAAAAGATATATTTCTCTCGTAACACTGTCAATTATGCCTACGGATGATAGTTAACTTTTTAGAGATTTCACTATCATTATCATAATATTAAAACTGTACCAGAGTATTAGTAGTCATATAAAAATCGACGATGAAAGCTTATAGATAAGAAAAACGACACCGATAGACGAAGACAATCGTAAAAGAATAGTGAGATGGAAGTTAATAATAATATTATATTAAAAAAAATAATATTTTAGATTAATAAAATAAAAAATAGACTAAAAATAAAAAATTTGAAAGTGTTTTCTGAGGATTTGTCAAAAAAAAAATTCTTCTGTAGGCTTTATAAAATTTAAAGTAATTCATGCCTGTTTTTAAGTCATCAAGTACTATCTCATAAAAAGGATAAATAAAATAAAAAAAAGAAATTAAAATAACAAGCGTATAACTCTCCCCATCTGCACATCAATAAATACGCGTACCAACAGCGGTTAACTTTTCGTGAAGAAGAGACTGCTCTTCCGCCGCGCATGAAGAGGCCAATGGAGGGCGGAGAAAGCTGCGCACGGGCGGTTGTTGTAGCATGTAGGTGAAGATTCTGGGGCCGGACGAGAGCTTCGACAGCTCATTTCTTATCCCTACTGGTTACTTATTGTATCTATCTAATATGGATTCTGTTGTCTTCCACAGAGATTTTTGCTTCACATTGCGCTGTTTAAGTTTTGGGCTTGATTGAGGGTATTTGTGCTCTTCTAATGGGTTGTTCGTGTTTATTTCTCTTCGCAATTGGATATCTTAGTCGATTCTGGTCGACAGGGATTTGAAGGTGAGAGAGTACTCCCTCTTCCATCTCCCGATTTCCTTCTTCTAATTGACTAGATTGAAATCTTCTTCTCCAAAATCTTTAGCTGCTTCCAATCTAAATTACTACTGGTTTTTCGCTTTGGTCGCGTTGTAGCCTTAACATCAACAACCACATGGGGAAAGGTGCAAAAATAGTTCTTTACCCCCTTTTCCCTTTTTACCATATAGAAACTGACAGTGATCCAGCCTAGTTCCTTGGCATTTAATTTGTATCTTGTTTGGCAGAGAAGAGAAGAGCTCATCTCTTTGATTACCATCAAAGTCTCTGGTTAGCTATCTGATCCTGTGGAGAATAAATGAAGTAATGTGAGAAAGAAGAGTGCCTCGGTCTCTCTTTGTTCCTATTATTCTCGAGGGGGAACCAAGAAGAGCAAATCGCCACAAGTTGTAGCAGGGAGGGCGTAACAATTCTTCAGATGTATGTCGAACTTCTGAAGCAATGAGAGATTGGGGTTCAAAGAAAAACAAGGTGTCTGGCACACACTATGCAAGTTTCGACTGATTTCTTTCAACTGCTTTGTGCTGATTTGGTCTCTTGTTTCTTCTTTCCTCTTTTGAGAAGCTTTCATGGTCTAAGTCCCTGGTCAGGAGATGGTTCAACATCAAGAGTAAAGCTCAGGACTTCCATTCGGACAATGTTTTTGGTCAAGGTGGGTCACATGCTTCTGTTCATGTCACATCTCTCTTCTGTAATTTGAACCGGTCTCCGGTTCTTAGTGGTGTTTTCTTTCTGCTGGCTCTCAGGACAGGAATTTCAGGCAGTGTTAACATGTTGTCTTCTTCTTCCCTGGATTCCAAGATCCACTTTTATTTGTTTGATCTTCCAATTTACCTTCTTTGTTTTTCTATTGGCACAGATATCTGGATAGAGTCAATAAGTATATTTTCCTCTTGTTGAAGAGCAAAATCGATATCGTTGTTGAAATTGTGGAGTCATGTGTGTATATACATCACTGCGTTCAAACAATAGCCTGTTTTTTCCCTCATTTTGAAGTGTGCATTCTTTTCAGGAGCTGATGACGAATGGAGTACCTTCCCAGTGAGGGAAACATGCAAAGTTGGGAAAAGCAAAGCAGGTTAAATAGACATGTTCTCTCATTCCCCAATTCCTTAGAATTGTCTACCCTTTCCAATATGCTTTCTTGATTTCTAATTTAATCATCCATTGGTTCATCAGAGAGACCGTACAAAGAGAGCACTGATCAAGCTCACAGAGGAAAGTTTGTTCTTGATGCAGCTGAAGTCACTGAGACCCTGGAGTACAGGTGATTCATATTAGAATTTAATGGCTGCAATCCATCTCTTACATTTTACTAGTTGTTATCTTTAAGTTGAATGGCAGTGTCAGCTGATGAGATTTCTTTGTTGTCTAGGATTTTTGTTGCCACATGGAATGTAGGTGGGAAATCTCCACCAAGTAATCTGAATCTCGAGGACTGGCTGCGTGCCTCACCTCTTGCAGATATATATGTTCTCGGGTATATGCTACACTGTCATATGTATCATATGTTTGAGTCAATTCAAGGACAAATGATGGGTGCTAGCATCCAACTTCTTCTTAATGGATTCTCAGGTTTCAAGAAATTGTTCCTTTAAATGCGGGAAATGTTCTAGGCACAGAAGACAATGGTCCAGCTAAAAAATGGGTGTCTCTAATTAGAAAGGCACTGAATAATCTTCTGGATGCCAGCAGTAATGGAGGATACCAAACACATTCCCTAGTTTCTAATCCGGTTGTAGAGCAGAACGACCATATTGGATGCTCGTCAACAGGGCAAAGAAATTCATCTTTCTTCCACCGACATTCTTTTCAGTCTTGGGGTCTTAGTATGAGAATGGACGAAGATATCATGGCCCCACAAGTGAGGCTGGATCATCGCTATAGCGTTTGTGATCAGGTTATCTTTGGAAGCAGACAAAGTGATTATGATCGTAGTTATAGATTGAATGGATTCTATGATGATGAGTATATGAATGGAGATTCTCCTGGTGCTGTTGTTTTCTCACCAACATCACATGGCCATGCTGCTTCATCTACCGAGGAGAGAGATGGGTCAACAGGACACTCGAGGTACTCTGAAGAAGAAACCATACACTATTCGAAGAATTTCCTACTTAAAAAATCTTTCTGGTTTATATCCAATAAATACAGTTCTCTCAAAAAATTCACTTCAATTGACAAAAAGGTTTTGGATCATTGGGAATTTTGTTGGTTTTGGATAACAATAATACCAGATGATATCAATAAACTTAGTTCATGCTTTCTTTCCTGAAATACTAGATACTGCTTGCTGGCAAGTAAACAAATGGTTGGGATATTTCTCACAGTGTGGGTGAAGAGAGAGATAAGAGATAGCATCAGGAACCTTAAAGTCTCCTGTGTTGGGAGAGGATTGATGGGTTATCTTGGAAACAAGGTGAGTAGAGTGATTATTTTCCATGTTTGTTATTTGTAATTCTACTGTTCATCCCTTATCATTTAAGCTTTCTACACATTTGTGCAGTCTAAACACCAGTATGATTTGTGCTATTCAAAAAATAATAAATGTGCCTTCTGCATAAGAATCTTCATTTTGGCACCAAACAAGAATCTTACACTTGTTTATTCCAGGGTTCAATTTCGATCAGCTTGTCTTTCCACCAAACAAGCTTCTGCTTCATCTGCAGTCATTTGACATCAGGCCAGAAGGAGAGAGATGAGCTTCGAAGGAATTCTGACGTCATGGAGATCTTGAGAAAAACTAGATTCCCACCAGTCCATGGGGATGAGAAGTCACCAGAAACCATCCTTGAACATGAGTAAGCCTATGCCACAGTAGGTAATTGAATGTCAAACAAATTCCATATTTCTCACAGATTCTCCCTTGCATTCCTTTCTTGACAAGTCGAATTATATGGCTTGGGGACTTAAATTACCGAATTGCTCTTTCACATCGCTCTGCGAAGGCTCTTGTTGAAATGCGAAACTGGAATGCATTGTTGGAGAAAGATCAGGTAATCCTATTTTCTGACTTAACTAGCACGAAAAGTAACACTGTGCAGTTTACAATGTGGTGAAGCTTATTCTAGAGTGTAGAATGTTTCGTTTGTTGAATTAGTACCGTTATATTTTTCACAATCTACTTTTTTTACTCATGAGGAGGCAATGATGAACATTTAATGTATTTACGATGGACATGATTCTCAGTGTGATTCCTTCTCCATTGTCTGAACCATAATTTTCTCTATGGCAGCTTCGGTTGGAGCAAAGATGTGGTGGTGTCTTTGAGGGCTGGAATGAAGGAAGAATATACTTTCCTCCAACATATAAATATTCAAACAATTCAGATCAATATTCTGGGGATGTCATGAACCAAAAAGAGAAGTGTCGAACACCTGCATGGTTATACTTAACTGACTTATTTAAGATTCCTGCATTAATTTTTCAAAATTACCAAAGTTATTGGATTTGTGAAACTGTTGGGTTTGCTCAATTGTCTCAGGTGTGATCGTATTTTATGGTATGGAAGAGGCCTTAACCAGCTGTCTTATTTTCGTGGGGAGTCCAGGTTTTCTGACCATAGACCGGTCTCTAGCATTTTTACAGTAGAGGTCGAGTCAATTAAACATAATCAAATATAAAAACATGACTTGTTCGAGTTCTCAATTTTGAGAACATATAACTTTGGCCAATCTCACATGGGTTCAGGATCTGATTTCTCCTGAAAATCTTTTACTATAATTTAGTTGTTTTTGGAGGGTTGTGCATATCGGCTCCACAGAATTCCGTGAAAGGAGGTATTTCGTACTGTCTCCAAGAACATGAAGATACTTTGTGTGATCTCTGCTATTGTGTGAGCAACTTGCTCGGGAAAGTTCAATGTTGCACAAGGGTGGAGCAAACTCGGTTACATTTATCCAGCATGGTAAGCATAAGTAGTACCCAGGAGCTCTTTAATTTCATGTGTAAAGGGAACATACATTTGAAGATACATTTATCTCTCTTCAAACTTCATTGACAGGCTGAACTCATTCTTCTCCCGACTTGAATTTAGGCCCAGAAGATCTACGATCCTATCCTTAATCTGTTGCAGTGCATGCTCTTTCCGAAACCAGGTACCCAACCTATGCAAAATCTTTTTCGTGATTCGTTCTTCCAATATCTTAGCTCGTATTACTACTACATCATTGTAATATTTTAATTACAAAACAGTTTTTGGGTTTATAGCTAGTTATCAAACTCCTTTACTGTAGTGTATTTCCAAAAATCAAATGGCTTATGCCGTTTGACAAGGATTTCATCTTTGTTTCTAAATCTGTTCAGCTGAGAAAAAGAACCAAACAGGTGTTCCATTATCACTAATCTATGATATTTTCTGCTGCAACGTCTTGATGAATTTATATTGCAATTGTTTTACATTTTAGGCATCTAACCTTTTCTGTTTCATCCATGATTTAACAGGACAAAGTACATAGGATTTTGTCAGAAGAGAAGTTTAGTCCGCAAAGATGAAAAAGGAAGTGTCCATCTTCTAGGAAAGCAACAAAGCTTTCAGTAATCACCACAAAAATGTACAGTTTATATGTCTAGAAATGAATCTGGTCATCCTTTGTTGTTTTTCTTATGGAGAAAAGAACATCTAATTCTATGAAAAGAAACAGTTGTGATACACTGATCAACTCGAACATGCCAAATGTATATTCAGAAGTATGCAAATACAGGTTCATGATATGAATTTTTTGGTCAGACCATATATTTGTTTTGTGGTTTAAAGCTTATTTGGTTGATGTTATTTGCATATACTTGTCTATGTCTGGTGTTCTTCGCCTCACATCAACTCTAAAAAGCTGGTAACAGACTGATACGAAGGGCAACCTAGTTGACAGTGATTTAGTATGCTCCGTGATGGGTATATGTTTCAAAAACAATGGATAACTCGAGAACTGATGTTGTGATTGATGATACAGTGCAACCCAGGTTCGATGTCTCTCTTACACGGAACACATATCACACTTCGAATGCAGCGATAGATATTCCATCGAGTAATAATACGAAGAATAAGACAAATAATCATCAAAGATATGTTGCGGCTAAGGTCCGTATCCTTCGCTTTAAAAAAAAAAAAAAAACTCACAGCCTTACTCGGGCTCACTAAGTCGAGAATGGCTAATGCTTCGTTTCTCGGATTTTCCAACTTAACTCATGGTATGTGTTCACGAGAAGCAATATATTGGAAGAGTTCTAAACAAGATACTACTATTGATTCGACCACAAAGACGGAATACATTATTAATGCCCTTGCAATGAATACAGAAATCGTAGACCTTCGAGGTAATGGTTTTTGGGCCCGAAAATTTTCATTACCACTTTGTAATCAATCTCGTGAGGCTCAAAGAGAGCTTTTTGGATTGGGGTCACAATAGCAATTCCAATATTGTTAAAAAAAGTTACAACAATTTTAGCACGACGCTATCGAATCTACCCTATGCGACCCATGCATAGGGGCTCGCCCATCACCGGTCGCAATGTGCACTTAGGCGATGGATGACACACACAACATGGTTGCAATCATATTAGCACTAACACACTAGATCTCATAAGAACTCCGAAGTTAAGCTTGCTTGGGCAAGAGTAGTACTAGGATATGTGACCCCCTTGGAAGTCCTTGTATTGCTTCAGTTTACTCCCGAGCAACGAAAATCGATGTCGTAGACCTCCAGGGTAATGGTTTTCAAGCTTGAAATTTATCATGGCCACTTTTCTGTCAACCACATAGGGCTTGAAGAGAGCTTTCCGAATTGGGTCGCAATAATGATTCCAAGATCGTTTAAGAAAGTTATGACGATTTTAGTGCGACGGGATCAAATCGGGCCTACATGAACCAAGGGGGCTCCACTCATCACCAACCATGACATGCACTTAGGCAATGGACGACACACATAGCATGGGTGCGATCATTCCATTACTAAAGCATCGGATCTCATCAGAACTCTAAAGTTAAGTGTGTTTGGGCGATGACCCCCTAAGAAGACCCCGTGTTGCACTACTTTTTGTGCCTAAGTGATGAAAATTGATGCCATAGACCTCCGCAATGATGGTTTTTGGGCCCGAAATTTATCGTGATTGCTTTAAGTCAACCTTGTGGGGCTCAAAGAGAGCTTTCTGGATTGGGGTCACAATAGCAATTCCAAGATTGTTTGAGAAAGTTACGATAGTTTTAGCACAATGAGGTCGAATCGACCTTGTGCGACCCATGCACGGGGGCTCCGCCCATCACCTGCCATGATGTTCACTTAGGCGATAAACAATGCACACAGCATGGGTGCGATCATATCAGCACTAAAGCATCAAATCTTATCAAAACTCTGAAGTTAAGCATGCTTTGGCGAGAGTAGTACTAGGTTGGGTGATCTCTTGGGAAGTCCTTATATTTCACTCCTTTTTGTGCCTTAGTGACGAAAACTGATGCTATAGACCTCGGAGGTAATGGTTTTCGGGACCAAAATTTGTTGTGACCATTTCATAGTCAATCACTTGTGGGTTGAAGAGAATTTTTCAGATTTGAGTCGCAATAATGATTCTGAGATCATTTGAGAAAATTACCATGGTTTTATCGTGACGGGTCAAATCAGCCATGCATGACCCACGCATGCGGGCTCTGCCCATCACTAGCCATGACGTGCACTTAGGCGACGGACGATGCACACAGCATGGGTATGATCATACTAGCATTAAAGCACTGTATCATGTTAGAACTCCTAAGTGTGCATGAGAAATATTCATCGAATGATGTTTTGACATGTGGTAATATAGTCCGAAAGAAAAAAAGAGCTCTGGACTATGTGGCCATCAATCCAACATAAAATATTGGAGGAATATTTCACTCCAATAGGAGTGCTGTTAATTCTTCTTATATTAATTCTTCTTAATGTTAGCTACGGTAATGGTTTACAAAATTTGCTTACTAAAAATTAAGAATTTAAAACCGTATTTGATAAACTCTTATCAGTAAAGCTGTCGATAGATATTTTAAGATGCCAGTTAACCTAATTGGTAAAGACTTTGATTATTAATAAGTCTTATTAATAAGTCTTCACTATTTATCCTTTGTATTAATAAGTATTTACTAATAACAATAATAATAAGATTTTCAAATACCGAATCGGAGACCAAATACCGAATACCGAATCGGATACGTGACAACACTCAAGTGTTGGGTTGTCCATAAATACAACCAACATAAGTGATATATCCAAATAATAGTTTTGTTAATATTTTGAAATATTTGAATGATTCCTTGCGTGCCTATGAAAAAATTACTAATATATTATATGAGATAATGATATCACTAGCAATAATCATGCTTAATTATCTTTTAATAAAGCCTTCAAATATGACTATCGTCCTAATGTCATCGAGAGGAATGAGTTTAGACTATAACAAATCTTTTTAGTTATGGGAACCCAATCTCTATGATGAGAGACCACTTAACAATGTTCAATGTAATAACATTGGTAGTCCAATGAGCAAAATGATATGACATAATAAGTGCACTCATTATATGTATGGAAGGAGTATGACTTTTAAGTCATCTTTAGCTAGAAGAGCATAGCTCTCAAAAGCCTCAGCATAGTACTTTTTATATGTGACTCAATACCCAAATACACATATCTAATATGGTTACTCCTTTGCGAGAGAATCTATAGCTAAGGATCTAAATAATCTTTAGAATATCTTGTTAATAAACAATATACTTATACATAACTATTAACACATGATACAATACGAAAGTGATGACCTAACTACCACCTCAACAACATATGGTCGACACATAAGTGTTACGCGTCTCACACCCCAATGCCTTATGGTTGACATGTTACATTGATGACATCTCGATATCGTGTGAGTGATCGAGTTGGATCAACCATTATCGTATCGTAGATTCAACGGGATATGACACCTCGATTGCAACAGTTACATAACCCAATTTCGATCCTCCCATGACCGAGCCTACTTAGTCCGCCAGTCAAATCCACTACCAATGCTGCTTTCCAAGTGTACCGAGCCCTCAGTCGTTTGTCATCGTTTCCAAATTTGATGGCTAACATAGCACCACTTGCACAACCGCGAGCTCCACCGTCATGCTCAGACGTTGGGAGGGTGGAAGCCCATCTGGGACCTCGACGAACCCCACATCCATGATATTATTGTTGTGTTCGCTATCTCCGACCACAAGCAAGAGGCGAATGAGCATCTGACGTGGGACAAGGTGGTGAAAGGCGAGACCCAGATGGTGTCCGGGCTCCAGTACAAGTTGCTGGTGATGACCAAAAATGAGATGGACGTATCCGCTAGGTACGAGGCGGTGGTGTGGGAGAAGGAATGGATGAACTTCCGAAAGCTCGTCTCCTTCAATCTAGTAATCTAAATGCCTTGGCAGTATGCATGGCGAATCGAGGAAGCTGAAAGCTTGATGTGTTGTGACTTACGTCAGTAGTATGTGATATGATATATTTTGGCGGTCTAAACACGGCACCCCTGATACACCGCATGTCAAATCGGAGCCTTACGCCACCCGTCCCGTCCCGAGAGCTCGTACCAAAAAGATATGCCACACATCCCGTCTCAGGAGCTTGGGGCGGTGCCATCTAATGCCGCTCTGCGCATCCCGGAACGGTGGCCGGTCAGAAAGGCCATCCTATCTTTCGGAGGGTCGGCAACAGTGACGCCGAATCGACGTCCCATCAGCCCTCGCACCATAGTATAAAACCTCTGGCTGGCCTCCGGCCAGAGGGGGGAGAAAAAAAAGGAAGGAAAAAAGCAATCCCTCTCGTTACTAACTTACTCGTCGGAGGGGCCACAACCGGGTACCACCCGGCGGAGGCCATTTTTACAGGAGAGCGACCACTCATCGACGGTGAGGGACTCGGCACAGGAGTGAGACTTGCTCGGCACCAAGGAGTCGCCAATCAGCCCCGATCCCGACCAATGCCAACCAGCACTCCTTCCCGAGAGTCCGAGTACCTCATCATCCGAATCGCCCTGCAGAAAGCTCCCAATATTGACCCATGGATCTAGCCATGCTGACTCACCAGCCACGACACATTTGTATGTGTGGCGAGTAAGTCATCGACCTACGTTAGTGAGAGTCGATGCATTGTTCCCTCGTTATTGTAGTGTAGTTCGTGGTCAAAAATAATCATTTGTTATCGCACCGTACATCTTTATATTTCATATGTTCTTTCTATTCTTTTCATGATCATGATTTAGTAGCTCTTGTTGGTCCGATAGATGATTATTGTAAAATTAGAAGAAAAAAAATCTCATATTATTAAGGAATTAAAAGAGTTAGGAGATATATATATCGGATTTAGTTTGTGATCGATGAGTACATCACAAATGAATTATAGTTGTTAAAATAACATTCAATGTGAGATGACTACAGAATAGTCTTATAACTGTAGCTGTGAGATGAAGATTAAAAAGAGGCTAAGGAGTCTCACAATTAACATTTAATTATTATTTTTTATCATCAAGAAACAGGTTATCTTTATAAATAAATGAGTAGTTTTATCTTTAAATATTTAAATAAATAATTTTCATGACGTGTATCTTGATCTCCAAGTCACAAAGGAGCAATGTTATTATCATATAAAAAAGTAAATGATCATTATATATATTATATATAAAAAAATAAAATTAGTAGAAGAAAAATATTATATTTAATGATTTTTACTTCATGTGATTGTTTGAATAACATGATATGGTTTAGAGGGAGAACAACATGAAGGTTTCAGACATACACTTGAAGAAGTTGGCTATTATCTCCATGATATGATTTAGAGAGAGAACAAATAGTCCATGTTAGTTTACCTGATTTGGTAGAAACAAATTAAGGAAGTGATCATGCTCTCATTATATGGTTTGATCAAGATGATAAATATTATACCTAACACTCAAGTGGCAAACACAGCTGTGGATCACTAGCATCTGCCATGATAATATGAGTTGCTTTAACATTGGATAGCCAATGCAGAAATGAGGTTGGGCCTAGAAAGAAAGGTCAGGCACTAGTAATAGGATGCTTTGTGCCTGCCTCTGCCTCTGCCTCTGGAATAAAACAATTGAAGGTGAAGAAGAGCTATTATTGCTACAAGTTACAGCATCACACATGGCAGCACAGTTGGTGGATAGTGATAATTTGATCTTTGACCTCACACATGCCATCAGAGTAGGTGGATAGTGAACATTTGTTTTTTAGCCTCTGAGCTAATTGTTATTCTCTTTAGAGGTCTGTTGAGATGGATGGATGGTGAAGAGTGCATTCATTCCAAGGAATATGGAGTACTAACTTTGGTAAAATGACTTATCATGAACTGATGAGCCAATCTAATGTTATTGAGAGACATTTTATTTTATAGCCACTTATTCTAAAATAGTTCTTTTTTTCCTAGCCTATATGTTTTAGCTTTCTCTTTTTCTCTCTCTAGATAGATACTTCTTTTCATGCTGTGTCTACCTCCACAATGCAAAAAAGATTCTTACATTCCATTTTAACTAGTTAAGATCTTATAATTTATTATTATTATTATTATTATTAGAACCAACAAATTAATTGAGTTGCTGTTTAGTGAATTATTATATTTTTTTAATTGTTAATATTTGATATTTTTTATAGTAAAAATATCTATTATAATAAAAGATATGTGGTTAATTCCAAATAGTTGAGACTTATAATTTTATTATTAGTAGTAACTTCTTGAAATATAAGATAAAATTTTCACCATTCATTGAGTTAGAACATAAAATGAATATGTATTTTTTTATCAATAATATAACAAAGTTAATGGAACTTTCTAATCTCTTTGACAAAAGTTAAAAATAATAATAAAAAAACTTATTTTTTGTTCCTCGAATTCGTTAATCACTTTACTAATTTAAGCTTCCAAAAAGAGTTTTTGTTTGAGTATTTTCTTGATGTCACTTACTCGACTCATTTTGATATAAATATGAGCTATCTAATTATTTATTTTATTGACTCAGACCTTCATCTATCTAATATGAAAGTGAATATTTTTTTTTAATTTTTTAATATCATCTCACTCGCATATAATTATTAAACTAAATAAGTTATGAACTCAAGTCAATATCTTTACTCGACTCATTTTGAAATAAATATGAGCTATCTAATTATTTATTTTATTGACTCAGACTTCATCTATCTAATATTTTATGAGAAATACATTCAATATAATATTTGAGAGTAGAACGTGAAAGTCAATATCTTTTCTTAATTTTTTAATATCATCTCACTCGCATATAATTATTAAACTAAATAAGTTATGAACTCAAGTCTAATCGGATCAACTCATCACACAGAAGAGACAACCAAATCTTATACGAAACATTAATGTGTTTGAGATAAAAATATAAAATAATTTTATATGACTAAGGATCGAAAAAATCATGTTACTATGACTCATGGCATACAAGGTTAAAGGTTTGATTTCCAAAATATAGAGTTGGTGAACAAATATACCGTGGGCTGGATCTACGGGTTGATATCGGAAGTCTTAGTTGAACGTCGAGGTAGGCCGGGCCCTCGTGACGGGGTGTTGTGTCTGCATCGAGCAACGTCTCTTCGTTCCCGGGCTGGTTGGTGGCTTGCCTTCGTTTACTAGATGGCGATTCTCAGGTCGAGACGCTTATGGCTCGGGGGTGGCCGCTTGCCTACAAAAATAGCCTTCGTCGGGTGATTCCCGACTTTGGCCCCTTCGACGAGCAAGTCGGTAGTTATTTTTCTCTTCCATTTTTTTTTTGTCCTCCATCCTCTAGCTGCCGGATGCCAGCCAAAAGCTTTTATATTATTGTATGAGGGTCGATCGCACGTGGGTTCGACGTGGCGGCTGATCCTCGGGGGATGAGACGGTACTATGAGACCGCTCTCCCGGGATGCACGAGACGGCTTCAGACGGAACCGCCCCGAGCTTCCGAGATGGGACATGTCAAACAGTGCTTCAATACAGATTCTGACTTAACATGTGCTGTGGCGTGGCGTGGCGTGGCGTCGGTTGTGACGTATCTTGGATTCAAAATATAACTTATCATATAATAAGTTTTTTCATATTAGGTTGGAAATCAAACATAGATAAATCTAACGTTAGGTCGATCGGATTGATTGGGTGATTTGGTAAGGAAAGAAGCTATCGGTTAAAATCAAGAAATAGACGCCGATGGAAGGAGACGATATGTCGGCACACACAGCCAACATACGCAACAGCGGTTGGTGTTGGGTCGTCCACGTCACCAAGTAGACGTTTCCAGTTGAGCACCGCCGTCTGAGATGACACCAGAAACCGATACCGCCAAATGTCACCCTCGGTCTCGGTACAGGTCGGCCGTGAGCGTGGGGCCCGATTCCATCACTTGCCTTCCAAAATTGCGGGGTCCATTGTGACTTTTCACGGTGGCCCCCACATGTGTAGGGGGAAGTGCCTTATTGGAGGGAGTACATGAGGAATAGAGAAAAGAGAGGGGAGAGGAAAGAAAGTAAATAAAAAAAAAATGACTGACTATAAATATAATGACATCAAATCAAATAAATCATTTATCATTTTCTTTCTTGAAGAAGATAATATTTTACATTTAATTTTAAAATAATATTCTATGATTTATTTGATCGGTAGACTTTCATCTCTACGGATATAAATCTTTGTTATAGAGACAAAATCGTTAATCAACATTTGAAATCTTTAATCAAGAAAAAAAAACACACATATATAACTTTTAAATTTAATCAAATTAATTCAAATAAAAGATAAATTAATCAAATTTATTCAAACTTCAATTTAATAAATTTTCATAACAATTAATATTAGAGCAAAAAGTGAACTTAGTAACGCCGATAATGATTCTAGAATCAATGATATTCGAGTATAATTCAAATCAATAATATTTTATTTAAAAAAACATATGATTATCTTAATTTTATTTTTTTAATTATATTCGAAGAAGTTTTTTATTTGATATTTCAAAAAGTTATCAATAATAACAAAATCATAAATATTGACTATTTAGAGTTAACTACATAAATCTTTTATTGTTTTTGAGATTTGTTATAAAAAAAATTATCGAATCTTAAAAATTAAAAGAAATCACTAAGTAATAATTCAATCAATTGATTGATTACAATAATAATAATAATACTAAGTAAGAATCTTTATCCATTTGTGGAGATCAGGATAGACACAGCAAGAAAAAAACCTCCCTAGAGAGAGAAAAAGAGAAGGTTAGGAAAAAAAGAACTATTTTAGAATAGATGGCTATAAATAAAATGTCTCTCAATAACATCAGATTGGCCCATCAGTTCATGATAAGTCATTTTTACCAAAAGACACTACTCCATATCCCTTGGAATGCACTCTTCACCATCCTATCTCAATACACCTATAAAGAGAACAATTAGCTCAGAGGCTAAAAACCATTTTGATGTCGAGGCAGGCACAAAGCATCCTATCACTAGTGCTTCACCTTTTTAGGCCCAACCTGAATTGTGCATGTCATATTATCATGGCAGATGCTCGTGATCCATAGCTATGTGTTTGCCACTCTATTGTTAGGTATATTATTAGAGTAGTAATATTTATCTTCTTGATCGAACTATACAATAAGAGCATTATCACTTCTTTAATTTGTTTCTACAAAATGATACAACCATACCAATCAGGTAAACCAACTTTGAGTGTATGTCTGAAGGTACCTTCGTACCTTCCATTGTATAGGGTTAAGTTCTATTTTAACCCATATGAGTTTGGTCATAAATCTCTTAAGCTCTTATGGTTTACTTATATATAAAATAATTCATATAGTTTTAAAAAATATAGTATATAAATTCCTTCTGTTAAGTTTGAATTAATAGATGTTGGAGTATACGACATGCTAACTCATAATAAACTATTAATATAATGATATGTATAATTTAAGTAAAAAAAAATTAAGACCACGGAGGGAGGGGTTCTCGTTGTGGAAGCGACCACCAACAATAGCATCGAGTTGCTGTTGTCTAGCGGGGTGTTGTACGCACGCAGCCTCTCCCATGTTGACGATGAGCTTTAGAGCTTCCAATCCTGCCTCAAGTGGATGTGCATTGATCGATCCGACGCTAGGCACACAATAGTCTCCTGGTCCCTTTTTCCTCTTCTTGGACATCTTTGTCCTTATTGCTTGTCATTTTGTCCTCTCCTACGCCCTCCACTCATAGTGCCTACAATGTGGTAATCAAACTTTCTCTTACTTTTGTCTCTATCTTCTCCTACTTTTACCTCTCAGCCTTTGTTCATCGCTATGGCCTCCACCGCTTCCTCTTCCTCGATAAGTTGGTCAAGAAGAGGGAGCGAGTGTGGGAGGATATTATAAACTAGCTCAACTACTCCTTCCGCTTGCTCTCTATTTCCGTGATGTCATGCTTCGTAAGAGAGATGACTTACAAGATATGATGGTACTCGGTTGGATCGGAATGACGTTCGCAATGATGGGCATGATGGCATGCGTCATGGAGCTAGCGAGTTGGATCTATCGGATGTCACTCGTTAGCTCTAGGGCGTATACTATCACATCATCTATCACGATGTTGCTCGTCATCATAATTGACACCCGTTTTAATTCTGACGAGTATCATCATATCTTATAAGCTATCTTATATAAAAAAAAATAAAAATAGAAAAGAACGAAAATATAAGTGAGGGAGAGTTGAAATATCGTATCGTAGGTACAATGGAGAAGACGAAGCGGATTACGGTAGTGCTAAGATTATTGATTTTTGAATTGCAGACCACGGGATGGACCACAGCAACTATGGGATGGGGCCCGCAACGGCACAGCCTTCGTTGACGCATTGGACAAAGGGCTACGGGGTATTCACACAGGGAATCCAACCTGCCCAACAACAAAAAATCCTTCTCACAGTTTCTTGTTTGGACCTAAAAATCGATCCTCCTCCTGTGACACTACGAGATCTACACACATCTCAAGTCTCCCTTATCCTATTTCCCGATCTGAACAAATTTCACCTTTTGTTCCTTCGAAATCATTTTTGAGACGGAAAAGGCGACACCTTCGTCTCCGGTCACGAGCCGAGCCGGTCTTCGAGTAGAAATCTCGAGTGACAATTCCACTGTGATGCTTTGACTTTTCCCAAAAGGAAGTTGACAATACAGCCTTTGAGGCTCCACTTTACTCATTCCTTTTTTATAATCGATCAATTGCCTCACGGGGGATTCGCCATGGACGAAGCTTTGCGCTGCTCTAATTCCCTGTTTTCTCTGCTCGGATTCTGGCGTCGGTGTTCGGTCGCTTAAAGGTGAGGTTTTTCTCCGGCTTTGAACTCTTCTTTGCACCGGGATATGGGCGTGCTTAGGTTTCACCGCGATCTCTCTATGGATCTTTGGGTTTTCTTGCTTTCTTTGTAAAGTTTGGTTTTTTTGCCAGTGTTATGTTCATCTGAGGTGTCAAAGTTGGATCTTGGCTTCTGAGTTTTGTTATTTGGGGATTTGGAGCCTAGGGTTACAGTTCCTTCGAATTCCTCGGATAAAGCTTCTAGGGTTTCATTCGCCTGAGAAATCTCAATTCCGGGTTTCAATCTTGCTTCGGAATCCATTCAGGTAAAGTTTTATTTTTGCTCATGCGAATCATCTGTTATTTTGCTTGATTCCATTCGACTTGTTGTTCTTGGTAATAGCTCTTGCGTAGAGAAATGGACCAACCCTTTTCAACCACCTTCAAATCTCTTCCCCCCACCGTTGATTCCGTGAAACCAAGCTTGGATACCATCATCAACAACTCCAACACTTACGCCGGCGAATTTAGCCCCGAGGGATCTGTTGGTTTTCTTGATGTTTTTGTTCACCAAGCTCGCGACATACACAACATATGCATCTACCACAAGCAGGATGTTTACGCCAAGATCTGCCTCACCAGCGACCCTGATGTTACTGTCTCGACCCAAATCATCAACGGCGGAGGGCGCAACCCGGTCTTCAATGATAATCTCCGCCTCCGCGTGCGGACGGTGGAGTCATCGCTGAAATGTGAGATTTGGATGCTTAGCAAGGTGAAGAACTACCTCGAAGACCAGCTGCTGGGATTCGCACTGGTGCCGCTTGCCGATGTCCTTGTGGCCAATGGCAAGCTGGTGCAGGAGTTTTCCCTCTCATCCACTGATCTTTTCCATTCCCCAGCTGGTTTCATTCAATTGTCTCTCACTTATGTTGGTGCATCGCCGGACGTCATGGCCCTTACTGCGGCACCGAAATCAATGGCTCCTGATGCCACATTGCCGGATGCAGAAAATGAGGACAACATTCCTTGTGAGTATGAGAAAATCGAATTCCCTGACCTGAAAGTTGTCAACGAGAACCAGATGATGATTTCAGAGTATTATGGGATGCAATGCACCAGCATGGAGACACAGTGTTCCGAGAGCTTGATCACTCCAGAGAATGGCAACTGTTCGAATGAGGAAGCAGGGGTTCGTCTTGTCGAGAGCTTCTCCTCTGCTGTTACTAGTTTAGATCCAACTAGTAGTCACAAGATTGACACTCCTGTGAGCAACGGTTCAACTACCGAGTCTACTTATGTGCTTTCGGCCATATCTTCTTCTACCTCCCATGCTCTCTCTGCCACGGTATCATCTCCCAGCCCGGAACACAAAAGCCCACAAGTCACAGAAGGTGAGGCTGATTCTTCTGCACAGCCAAACGATACAATTATGAAGCCAATCATCAACATAAACATCAAGCCAGAGCAAACAGTGGTGCAGCAGGACATCGTCGATATGTACATGAAAAGCATGCAGCAGTTTACAGAGTCACTGGCCAACATGAAACTCCCTATGGACGTTGATGATGATTCTGCAACTGCACAAACTGATGAAACAGTTAGTTCAGACAAGAAGCCTCCGCCGTCAAAGGGGACTGGTTCAAGAGTCTTCTATGGGAGTAGAGCATTCTTCTGATCTTACACCCGTCAAGGATCTGCAGATGACTCTTAGAGTAGTTCAGATATAGTTGACTGTGTGCATGACAAACTTGCTGTTAATGTTATGTTCTTGACGAACTTTCTGTAATCAGATATCAAGTATCCTTATATACTAACAAAATAGATCTTATCTTCTTATGATTAGAGTTTTTGTCACCGATCCATTTCCTAGAAAACTCTTGTGACTACTTATGAATTATCAGGTATCACTGCAGTAAACTTCATGTGTTGCCTCTCTACCATGATTTCCATAGACTTCATCGGTTGTGCTTCCACACTTGTATGTAATGACCTCATTCAAATGATGCCTTGTTGTGTTTGATGATGAACGGCCGTGATGGCACCAAACTTCCCAAACCAACAAATGGCTTTCTTAACCGTGGCGCCTTGCTTTGTGTTTCGTGTGATCATGATCGTGGTTGATTGTACTTGATTGGAGATTGTGAATTAAGCTTTGGTCGGCCCCATCGAGATGAAACTTACGGCACACGAATCACGACGCAATTGCCAAGCTCGTTTATAAATTCGCAGTTATAAGACAAATCAGTTAATAGTTACGAAGATGGACGGTTAAAAGAGGAAAGAAATTAGTACGGCGAAAATAATAATAATAATAATTTAGAACGAAAGGATGCAAATTATAAAAAGGACATCATATTCTTCCCTCCTTTTTTTGTTTTGTTTTTGGTTTGCCAAATTCGAAACCGCCACTCCATCGAAATCATATTCAACTACTCTTCTTTCCACTTTCCTCCGCCTCGCCATCCGCTCCCCGACTCCCTTCCCCTTCTCTTCTCCCTTTTCCCCTCCGATTCGCCGTCGCTCTACCCCGATGGATCGCCGAATCGTTCCTCCTAGTAGTGACGCCCACGTTTCGCTGCCGATGGAGTCTCGGTCGATGTCCGGTGAGATCCACGTGATCCTTGGCCCCATGTTCGCTGGAAAGACCACCGCTCTCCTCCGCCGGATCCAGATCGAAATGAACAATGGAAGGTTGGTTCCCACAATTTTCGCGGCATTAATCGTCTTGTATCGCTCATAATTCCTCTTTTTGTCCCCTTTCGAAGCAGATCCGTGGCGATGATTAAATCCGACAAAGATCACAGGTATGGACTGGATTCTGTAGTGACGCACGATGGGGTGAAGATGCCATGCTTTGCGGTGTCGGAGCTTTTGTCATTCCGAGATAAATTAGGCGCTGAAGCATACAATAAGGTGCATCTTGATTCTGTAGAGAAGTTTTGCAGTTTTGCCTACTATTCTAGTTGTTGACTACAATGCACTGTGCATTTCTCTTGTTATGGTTGCAAAATCTGGTGGAGCATTTGTAGAATACTGCAAATAATATGAGTGTGGCTCAAAGTTTTAAATTGCATCATTTTATTGGCTGAAGTTTCTTCGTTTGAGTATATATAGTCAAATGTGATGTAATCACCTCAATATAGGGACTACTTACTACTTAGTGTTTGTGTGTATGGAATGGAAGGGATTTGTGACACCCAATTTAATCTCACATAGGAAGTAGGTTATAACTTGGATTAATTTATGAGTGTTTGATGATTATACTATTGTTAATTTCAATTTAAGTATTTAAGTTAGTGGTTTAACTTTCTGAATATGATTTTCTTGGATTGATAGATGACTATCGTTGTTTTCTTTCTCTAAATGCAAATGTAATTTTTTTGTTACATGTTTCAGTCATATGTTGATTTTTACATGGTCATAGCTTGAGGTTATATTTTATCTTTTTCTATGTTAATTGATATTAGGTAGATAACTTGAGATTATACTATTATAATTTTGTCTTGCCCAAATCATTAGCCAATAACTTGAGATTGTATTATTATACTGAAGTTGTGTCCTTGTTAAGACTAGATTATTGTTGATACTGAAGTTGAGTCATCGTCAAGGCTAGATTAAATTCTAGCATGGTACATGAGAGAGTCTTTTTGACTCCATCCACGAGTAACATTTTTTTTACTTGAGGTCTCTCATCATGTTGCAATAGTATATCTCTGATACAATTTGCTATAATTTCGTTTGATCCAAATTATTGACTAAAATGTTTAAGCTGAGGTTGATGGTAATTGATATTAGAATTATAAGTCAATATTAATATTGTCTATTTTCGATATAGAATTAATCAAGGTGTTAATTAATGTTAGGTAGATATTGGCTACTTTTGTGGCTACTGATTTCTGTAAATTGTTTCATTTAGTGAACATATTCATACCGTGTGAATCTACTGAAGTTCATTTTGGCTAACATGCATACATCTGCTAATCTCTCTTTGCTTCATTTACTTTCTGTTGTTGACCCATCTAATTATGTAAATCTCTCTTTGCTTCATTTACTGACTTTCTGTTGTTGACCCATCTAATTATGTAATGGGATTTTTGTATTTTTTTTACATAAATTATGAGAAAATCCCAAACCACGTAGACACACCTTGGAGATAATTTTTATTTCATGTTTTCTTTTGAGAATATGAAATCCAAACACTACACAATTTGACTAGGAAGTTAGTAAGGACCATGATCTGGAGTTCAACTGTTTGTACGCATGTTTGAAATGATTAACCGATCATCTTAGTTACGTCGAGTTCTATTTCTGATGCTGCATTCTGGTAGTTGGATGTGATAGGAATTGATGAAGCGCAATTCTTCGAAGACCTTTACGACTTCTGCTGCAATGCAGCAGATTGCGATGGGAAGACTGTTGTCGTTGCAGGTCTGGATGGCGACTACTTAAGGTGATTAATGAACTCGTTTATCAGTACTGTTCAGTGCAGTTCTCAGGTCTGGATGCAAATAGACCCTTTTGTATGTGGTTCCGATCTGGATCCCAACCATTTATTTTGGATGTTAATGCATGTTAATTCGGCTAAATTCTTCTATAATGCTTCATCCTCTGACGAAGGTAGAAAAATCAACTTTGACAGGAAGAGATTTGGCTCGGTGCTTGATGTTGTTCCACTAGCTGACTCGGTGATGAAGCTCACGGCACGGTGTGAGATTTGTGGTAGGCGTGCTTCCTTTACCCTGAGGAAGACTAACGAAACGCAAACCGAGCTCATTGGTGGTGCTGATGTTTACATGCCTGTCTGTAGACAACACTATGTGGACGGAGGTTGTTGATAAAGCTTCAAGGACTGCATCGACTATCCTGATGAGTTCAACCGGGGTTTGAAGTCCGAAATAACTTATTTACGTTGTTACACTTGATCATTCGGTATACTTAGAATCCTTCTGTTTGTTTCCTGTCCTATCTGTGACTGCTAAATTTCCATATATATATATATTTATGAGGTGTGGTGATTGCTGTATTACAAAGTATGGAGAGTTGAATTATCGTGGTTATTTCTTTACTAAAATTATTATGGTTGGCATCTCAAACTGCTGTCAACTCGTCAAGGCATCAAACCCCACATCATGCCATGCTAATGGAGCGTGCAATGAAGCAATATCAAACTGGAAGGTGAACTGAATGCTTACAAATATGCAGCACCTTCCCCTGAATAGCATCAGGTGGTCTAATGATCATGGCCGCCTGAAGTTTACATGTATACTCTCGATCATTATTTTTTGATTTGTTCTCTACTTAAGAAGTTTACATATTTATTAATATTTAAGTTCAAGTTAATAATAAAATACTGATTAGATTATTATAAATTAATTTTAATATTTATTTATTTTGATATAGGATTAAATCGAGATGTTATCATTATAATTACGAACGACATCTTAAACAAGCCGTTAATCGGAGGACGTGACAGTCGTTACCTAAATGCAGAGCTACAGGTGTCACTAAGCCTTTACTATTCGTGCTAATTGATCCCCGCTTCAGATGATATCATACTCATCACGTGCAAACTGCGTGATATAGCCCCCGATAGGGGTATAGTAGTCATTTCAGAATTAGAACAACAACGGGGAAACAAGCCGTCAATTTCCAACAACCCAATAGAGGCATTTTGATCAGTTAACAAAGATTATTATTTTATTAATAATTTTATTATTAATATTTTTAAATTATTTTTTACAAATAAATATAAAATATTAAGGCTCTGACGAGCATTAAATTTACTGAAATGCCTCTACAACCACCTTCCGAAACAACGCATCCCTCTCTCTCTTCGGCTTCGCTCATGCTCTGCGACTCCCTTCTTCGTCTCCCGTTTGGATTCAGAAATGGTGGGGATTCCGGAGGCTGCAGCCGGACATATCGGCAGCGGAGTAACTGACGGCGGTCCACCAGCACTCAGCTGCGGTTCGAGGGCCGCCGCTCCTGTAGCAGTGGCGGGGAGGAGGATACGCCCAGGACAGACCGAAGGCCGGATCGCCCCTCGCCGGAGCGAACGGCGCGAGCTATAAGTCGATGTCGCCAGCTCAACTCCGGATCGCGCGGCGCCGTGCTTTACGATACACCCTGGGTTTAGCCCCCCCCGCTCTCCTCGAATCCCCCATCCTCCTTACCAACACGAAGGTGGGTGATCTCTGTACTTGCTTCATTTCGTCTTGTCTGCATGTGCTGTTCGAATCTCGCGTCTTCTTCGATGACGTTGGTATTTGGACACGAAATAAAGTTGCTTTTCTTACGAACTTCTCAGTTCGTGATCTTTTTGCTTGGCAGGATGAAAGATTTTTTTATTAGGTTATATAATTTTTCTTCCTCTAGTGTACAAGAAAAAGGTTTTCACTAATCATCTAAATATTCTTCATTCGTGGATTGACTATTGTTCTGACGTCTGCAGTGTGAGCATTCATAAGAATCTAATCTTTCACTATCATGTGCTCTGAATTGATGTGCATTTCGTAATTCGATCTTTAATAGCTTAAGTTCTACGAAGTTTTATAGTTTATCTTTTTCATTCGTGAGTGTGCTTTTTTTATCTTCTGAAATTTATCCAGTGCGAGCAAGGTCGGTAGAACCGTATTGTCCATGGCCTTTAAATAGATTGTTATTCTCACTTTGTTCTGTTATGTTTCTTCACCTTTATGTCGTTATATGTGATATGAAATTATCAAAACACTTGCTTTGGTATTGACTTTGATTGGGAATTTCTCTTACTTTAAAAAGCATTCACGTTGACCCTATTCTGATGGACTTGTGGACCAGCACCCATCTTTGTGTGTGTCAGTCTTTTCAGCTTGGTTCATTAAGCTTTTCTGTATGGGGATTCATTCTTATTCAGAGCTGGAGCATCAGAATATATGTGCTACTTCTAAAACTTCCACTTGAAGATTAATGGAAAGCAGTAATTTGGACACTTACTCTCGTGCGGTTTTTACAGGTACTTGTTAGAAATTAATTTTCAGTTTTAGGTGACTGAATGATGCAGTTTTAGGTTGATTTTACTTGAGCAAAAGAAAATTCAGAATAACATCATAACAAACGTATATATGATTATTACGTTTAAAATTCTCAGTGCTTCTTTTCGCTGTCTATAATCCGGATGCAAATTTTCTATCTTGAAAATGGATTTGGCTGCTTTTTATATGAAAGGAATCTGCTAGGTTGATTTGAGGTGATGTATACAACTAGCAATATGGTATACTGCCAGTTCCCTTGCTTAGATAGCTTCTCAATAATGGACCATTAGTACCTAGTAATCATTTAGTGTTTCCTTGTGAAAATCTTGGTTTTTATTTTAGGAAGAACAAGGTGGATGCTTCCTGATCATTCATCCTGCAGAACATGGATTGTCAGGAGAGTTATACAATGACATGTAGCCTGCATCTTTTGCTGTTTTTATAATAGCTTCATATACATAGACTTTAACATTGAGATTAGAACAATAGAATTTTTACTTGTACTTTTAGCATTCTTTGGTGCAGGTTGAGCCTTCTCCAACTACTGTAACCCTCAATATGTCCTCTGCCATGGATAAAACTATTTGTTCAGACACCTTATCTTCTCAAAGGCATACTTCTGATGTCAGTGCATATGATGGAAGGAATCCTGAAGATTTTCAGTTCAAACCTCAAGTTGGAGCATCTTATAGTCTAGGCCTATCTTCATTAAGACCTATGGTAATTTCCAATCTAGTTTTGAGTATATTGATGATTCATGATGGTGCTGTTTATTCTTTCGTCACTATTCTCACTGTATCCATATGTAAATAACTTCCTGTGAAATGTGAGTGCCAGTCTGAGATAGGTAACAATATGACCATGTTTTCTGGAGGCCACTCAGAGCAGGTAATTGCAAAATAAAATCAAAATTTAGGTTGATTGAAATAAAATATCCTCTCAGCTTAAATAAATAGAAATACAGATATGTAAAAAGAGTAGGCAAATTGTTGGAATAAAATTGAAGAGATTAAGATACAATTTGCTTTCCAACTAGAGAATGCTTTAATTTGGTCTTTTGTCGCATCAACAAACACTCACCATTAAATAGCTCCTCCTAGTATGATCTGCTTAATGGGGTGATGCTGTTTTGTAGAATCAAGTTGATTCAGTCAGGGCCAGCAAATACCAACGTGTTTACAGAAAAGTTGAAAATTGTAACTCTAATCAAACCATTACTTTTACATCTACCAATACAGCCTGAGAATAAATGAATAAAACAGGAGTTTGGTAGTTGAATTATGCAAATACTAGACTAATGAGAAAATTATTTGAACAGAATTCTAATTTTAATATCTTCTTTTTGACTTTTCCAAGCAAATAATGTGGCTTTGTCCAAGTACCAAAATTAATCAGGTTGGCTTATGGTCGATCAGGGATTCAGATCCATATTTTTCGTTCTACATTTTTGTTAAGACGGTTCCTGGGTATGCTTAATTGACCTCTTCATGGAAACTGTTCCTAAGCCATCTTTTATGGAATCATTTATGGTTTTGAGGGTTTAATTGAAGAACTGTGATCTGTAACTCTGACCTGTGAATTTCCTACGTTGTAATATGCTGGTAATCGGTATGGATTTTGCATTTTCCAGATACCTTATTTTCTCATTGAAAGGACTAGCTTTAATCAATGCATATGAACCTGTCTACATTTGACTATGATTATTAGTCGCATTGCCTGTAGTTTATTAAACAGTTTATTGCAGGTTTCTGCAGGCTTGATCAAAAAAGAGCATGAGCCTTCTATGCAGAGTCAAAATCAATCTCAAGGTCAGAACCTGGTTGCGTCTGAAAATGAATCAATTCTATCAGAATCTGTTCCGAATTCAGCTATTGAAGGAACCAATTTGAGAGTTTATCTGCCAGCTGAAGCAGCTTCTGGTGAATTACAGCTGACAAAATGTTCAGTGCAAAAGACACGGATGTTTCAGTCTGATCCAAGTGAACCTATATCATCCAAGTATACTTGAAAAATCTGCAGAAGATGGCTATAACTGGAGAAAGTATGGGCACAAGCATGTCAAAGGTAGTGAATATCCTCGGAGCTATTACAAATGCACACATCCTACTTGTGAAATGAAGAAACAAATGGAACGTTCTGATGGACTGGTCACTGGAATCATCTATAAAGGTCATCATGATCATCCTAAGCCCCAATCTAGTTGTCGTTTAGCAGCTGGTACAATGCTCTCCTGCCATGAAGAGGAAAAAACTGATAAATTGTCTTCTTTAATGAGTGTTGAAGGTAAGGGAGCCAATGAGTGGATAAGTTCTACTATTTGACAGTTTTTACTTTATTCTTCTTTTATACTGGAACCTTAAATTTCCAGATGAGTCAACAAATGCACCTGACCACACGTATCATCAGATTGATCCAAACAGTATTACTGAGTCTCCTTAAACTGGTGGAGGGCAATCCAATGATTGTGATGAGGTCGCTGTAGATGGTAATTTGGAGTCCAAACACAGGTGCCCTCTTCTATTTCGTGATTAAGGTTGACATATAAGAGGCAATTGTATTAAGTACTTGCTTGATCTGGCAATACCTCTAATCAGGAAAATGGAAATTGCTAACAACAATTCTGCTTTGATTGGCAAAACGGACCAGGAGCCTCGTGTTGTTGTGCAAACACTGAGTCAAGTTGATATCTTGGATGATGGGTATCGTCGGCGGAAATATGGGCAGAAGATAGTTAAAGGGGATCCTAATCCAAGGTGAGGTTCATCTTGAAAACATCAATTTTGTTTTGTGTTTTTGACTACTGATAATACTTCTTTTCTTATCTACATTTGTTTCACTTTGCAAGTGTCCCTTTGGCAATAGTTCAAGATAAAAAAGAAAGCTATTATAGTTGGCAACTTTGTGTTCTTTTTTCTATTTCTTTTGTGTTTATCCAGTTTCCTGCTGATTTCTTTTTTTTTTTTGGTTTATCTAGCCCCTGCTAATCAGACATAAACCAAATTCTCATAGTTGTTGTTAAGAGCATATTATGATTCTGCTGATCTATATGCTAATATGTTATATGCTATATATACCATAGTAGCATTTATCTAGATTGTCATTCGTATTAATGCTAGATCTTTACTTTTCAGGTTATATACACTAGTCACCTGGTACTACTTGAACAAGTCAATATGTTCTGTTCTTTGTTTTATGAAATTCTATCTTTTACCAATGTGTTTAACTTGTCCAGGACAAGTTGCTAGGATTGCTTTACTTCTAAAAGATCTCTTAGAATTTTACCTCTATTTCTTATTGACTTATAGGAGTTACTATAAGCGCACCAATGCCGGCTGTCCTGTAAGAAAACATATCGAGAGGGCATCACATGATCCGAAAGCAGTAATTACGACATACGATGGCAAGCATAATCATGATGTACCAGCTGCAAAGACTATCAGCCATGAGGCATCTGCATCAGTGGTGACAGATGCTGATGGTTCTCTGAGCATCCATGCTTCAGCAGCCCTCACTGGTACAATGACTACGACACCCTTTTCTCACCCACTCACCCAAACGAAGAGCAACCCGATCAGCCTTGACCTTGGTGTTGGCATCAGCACCAGTCAAAGCGATGCCACAAATGGAAGTCAGCAGCTTTTGGGAACAGACCAGATTCATCAGCACCATCAAGCACAATTTGTTGGTTCTGGTAAGCTGGTGATTCAAGCAACTCCATTGTAAAAAATCTATGGAAGTTCACGCACTAGAATATCCTATACAACCCCAGGAAATTTATTGATGGGTCGATGAGGACTTCATGCAGTTCAAGATATCCTTATGTCTCATATCAGAACAAAGATCGGATGTTATTTACCGGTGAACCATTTTCCACGACATCTTTATTTGCCTCATGTGAGCCACATTGCTACATCCTGCAAGTATACGCCATTAGATCTTCCTCCAAGCATTAGTAAGCAGTTACATTTGTGGTCTGATCATGTAAGCCCATGATTCAATATGTATTATTATTATTATTATTATTTTCTCTCGAAGGCTGTTCATTGTAATCTTATTATGGACGTTCTTCTGATCTTGTTATTCCGAGTTGTATCTACTTCATAGGAACTCGATATCGGTTACTTTGTGCCAACCAGATTTTTGATGAAAATGGATTGTTGTCTGCATGCTTTTCAGAGATGGTTTGAACATATAAATTTCTTCTTTCAAATTTATTGGGAACAAATGTTAGAGTTGAACTCTTAATCTCAAACCTTTGGGTGAGATGCCACAATCCCTAGCTTTTCCAAGCATCACAATTTGTCAAAGGCTTTCTCCAATGATCTTGAGGTCTCTCCTCATTTATCTCATGAGATCTTTCTCTTGCTTGTCATCTCTGGTTGAAGTATGTAGCTGAAATATGATTCTTTAGCTGACTACAAGCTAATATATTATCACATACTATCTTGCATCGATGCAAGATTGCAAAAGGCGAAGATGGATTAGGATCCGAGTTGATAAACCATTTTGTATGTGTCTCAGTACACAGTCACTCCACATGGGAGAAATAAATTAAGATGGTCACCACGTTGCCACCACCATCAATATGATTTAAAGCCACCTTAACACCACTTTCCATGTCACATTGTGGTATAATAATCCCAATTGGATGTGACCTGCAAGTCAAAGCAGTCCAATTTTCAAGTTCATTTTCTTCATTTATTTTACCTAATTATAGTTATATTATTCTCTTCCTAATTTGCAATATTATTTCCTTCATTCTCTTATGGTTCGTATAATAGAAAACTAATATTAGCAGTCTATCATACCATCTAAGTTAATGGAGCGTGGGAATCTATGAATAGTAGATTGGTCACAGAAGGCAACGCCTCAATTCCTCATTTCACGTCTAGATTTTGTGAATATACGCTTACCATGTAAATTAGATTTATACGCGTAGAATATTGCTATTTTAAGAAACATGTGGCGTATTTACTTGCTATGGTACGGGGAATATAAATTCTGGTGATTGGCTGCCTTCACCTCGATTCGGCATAAGGTTTTCTTTTCTGGCGCTCTGACTGTTCTCCGACTCCTCGTTATTCCTCTAGTTTTGCTGCAGCACAAGGATTTGGCTGGCTTTACGTGCAATCGGGTGAGTAAGCTTTGTTCTTCTATTTGTTCGCAAAAGTGGAACTTTTGGGTTGTGGGTTTAGTTGATTGCTGTTGGTTTTGTCGAAGTTGGTGTTTGCAAATTGATTTCTATGCCATATTTTGGGCAAAGGTGGGATTTTTATCTTTGGCTCATCTTTTATATTGACAGATGTCGTGGATGTGTTTCCTCTTGAAGGGGATTTCTGATTGCAGTTACCGGGGTGGGAGTTGGTTATCTGCAGATTCCCTTGTCTTCCACCTCTCTCGTGTTTCTTCCCTTTGCTGTAGAGTTTGGGGGGAAAAAAGAGTTCTTGTTTGCTGCTATTCTTGACTGAAATGGAGATGTTTATTCTGTTGAGAGTCGTAACATAAATCTTGACCTGATAAATAGGTGGAAGTATATAAATCATGGAGTTGTCTGTCGAAAGAGAGATAGATGCTTCCACCTTTTAGATCCTTTTGCATCAATTTCTATTTGTGTAAGCTGTGGTTCACCACTTGTTGCCTTCTATTTTAGCTTTGGGACTGTTCCCATGGTTGCAATAAGATGCTTATCGAGTGCAAAGCTTGGGTTTTAGTGCTCTTTACAAGTTAAATTTCAAAGGAAAAATGAAAACCTGCATTTGGTGGTGAATGACTGCCTTCTTTTCCCTGCATCCTTCTCTAGTTCTACTTTTTCTTTTAACTGTAGATGGTGATGATTGTGGTATTATTGAAGCTCTCTTTTACAGAAATATTGCTTTCTTTACCAGATCTGTTGGTTTCCAGTGTTAGCACATTGCACATTTAGTTTTAGTGCTCTGTGTTTTTAATAGAGAGTGATGTTTCATAACAATAGCATCTTTTTATCATGGAGTTGTTCTTCATAAAAACTGTTCCTGCTTCCCATTTGTGATAATTGTATCCGAACTATTTGTGTATCCTACTGATGCTCTTCTCTGAATTATGCTGCGACAGGAATTTGGAGATGGAAGTTGCTGAATGTACTAAGATTGTAATAAACAGAATCCAAAAGCTCGAACCAGAGAATGCTATGAAGCTAATCGGCTACCTTCTCTTGAAACATACAGATCGAGAAATTATGGAATTTGCATTTGGACCCGACAGTCAGATCCTTTCTCTGGTCAATCAAGCCAAAGCATATCTTACTTTGTTGCAGAAGTCTAACCTTTCTTGTCCTATGCAGCACCTTGATGATCAGAAGCTCCACTATATGTCTTTTTCCCCCACCATATCGCGACCTTTCTCTTCACCTTCCAGCTTTAGCATCCCTGCTCCATTGTCAGACTCTCATCTACTCTCTGATCAGATGCTGATTTCTCAGAATCTAGATGTCCCACCTTCTTCATACACTGATCTGATTGGCGGGCTTTATAACCAAGCTGAACAATTGAGCTTGGTAGACCATTTGCATCCTTCATGTCCTGACTACTTGAGAAATAAGTGCTTTTCCGAGGCTGCATTTGAGAGAGGTTTGAGTTCGAGGATCAACATGAGGTTGCATCCTGGGTGGCTTGAGTCACCTCCCAGAGCTTGTCATTACTATTCCAAGGGCTACTGTAAGAATGGCATCAACTGTCGGTTCTTCCATGGTCAGACAAACCCTGATGGCTTCTCTGATACACATAATCCAAGTCTGAATGAATTTGGTAAAGAAGACCAAGTTTCTGCACCTGGGTCATTTTCAAAGTTGGAATCGGAGATCATAGAGCTCCTGAAATCAAAGAGAGGGATGCCTGTTTCTATAGCTTCTTTGCCCACCATGTATCTTGAGAAGTATGGGAAAATGCTTCGGGCTGATGGATACCTCACAGAGAGCCAGCGTCATGGGAAGGCTGGTTTCAGCTTGACAAAGTTGCTTAATCAATTGAATAATAGCATTCGGATTATAGACAGGTATTCATTGATCTACCAAGTTGTCTTTTGTTTCTTTCCAGTGCATGCAGTACAATGTTTCTCTCGATAAAGCGTTTCCCAAATGCTTGGAAAGTAATAACTTATGGTTAAAATGCAGACCACATGGGCAGCATTCAGTTGTACTTGCAGAAGATGCTTGTATGTATATGGAGTACAGGAGTGACAGAATCGATCAAGGAGCAGTAATTGCTAGCTCCCATCAGATATATCTTACTTTTCCAGCTGAAAGCACATTCACCGGCGAAGATGTTTTTAATTATTTCAAGTAATGAATTACTTCTTTTTCTTCTATGATGACAAGAATATTGCATGTGTACATGCTCAAAGTCATATTCTTTGTTGACAGTCAGTATGGTCCTGTTCATGATGTGAGGATTCCACGGCAAGAGAAACGTATGTTTGGGTTTGTGAGTTTCCTCTATCCAGAGACCGTGAAAAATATTCTGGCAAAAGGACATCCCCACTATATCTCTGGCACAAGAGTCCTGGTTAAGCCATATAAGGAAAAATCAAAGCTAACAGACAAGTAAACTGCATTCTCCCGCTCATTTTGATCTTTTTTTTTGTTTCTTGTTGGTATTCTGTCAATTTCTGGACATATGCCATGAGTGATAAGAGAAGTCATCTTTCTTGTTTATTTCTGTATTGAAACCCTGTGAATTTTTGAAAGGTGAAATGAGTGTGAATGCAAGCATGTAATGCATATTTGTGATGTAGGGATACTGAGGGGCCTTATAAATTCATTGTGGTTCGCGACTCTCATCTTAATAAATAATAGCTGTACTTTTGGCACATTTCCTATCCTTAAGAAACATCCATTTTTCCTAAAATTCTGTTTTTTTCGTACAATTTTTTGCCGAAGTTGTCAAAATTGTTTGTTGTTTTTCTTTCTTAGCTCTCAAGAGATAGGCAATGATGGCAATGTGCAGTCTTGATGTATTCTATACAATTTTCCAAGTGCTAAATTCACTTAAATTGTCGAAAAATTCTTATCTTGGTGTCAAGTGTTTTTATGTTGAATTGGATTCTTTTACCATGTGCACCAGAAATGTAATTTCTTTTACTTGCTGCCAGTACATGAAATTAGTAAGCATTTTGCTTCAGTAATTGTAGCTAGAACAATTTGTAGTTGTCTCATTAGTAGATCGATCTTATTTGCAGAAAGTATGCAGAGAAAATGGGGAGTCCAGATTGTTTCCCTTCTCAATTGTTTGCAGTGGATCAGAACACTGAATTAAGTCGGTGAATGCCACAATTACTTTGTCATATTCTATATCCACCTCTTGTAATCTTAACCTGTATTTTGATGTAATGGCTTTACATACTATTGCAGTTCTCGGTATATCTAAAAGTACTGGATCTCCGCAAAGGAACCTGTCTAAAGATCATGACCTTGCCATTGAACTTGAGAGAAGACACCTATTTGAGCTGCAGCTAACCCCTAAGCAGCCAAGACAACAATCATGTTTCAGCTTGGGAATGGAAGAACTAAAGGTTTTAGAAGGTAAATTAAGATAGCACATTCTATTACTAGATTTTCTGGCACCATCTTAAAATGTTCAATTGTTCTACTATAAACTCAAAATCTTCAACTGCAGATGATTTTGACTGCCATTCAACTGTTTTTAAGAGTGGCCCCAGAAATGACTGCATATCTAAGCAGACATACAACAATTGTAATGATATAAATAGGTAATCGAATGAGCTTTGTCATATATCATTTATCATGATGATTGATATGCAATATCTAGTCCAAATTAATTTTGTTTGCAGATCAACATATGCTATTTTGTGTGTTTGTCCCTCTTAAACCTTAAGATTGTTATCAAATTCCTTTTGCAGTGACCACATTGAACTTCCAGAAAGTCCATTTGCTTCTCCTCGGCTAGGAAGTAGCATCTCCACAGTCACATAGAGATTGACAAAGACGATACATAGATTTAGATTACACATTCAAGACTCCCTACTTGTCAAGTATTTGGAGTAACTCATCCAAGCTCTACAAAATCAACATCAAGGGCAGAAGCTTGCACCAGAGGAAGTTTTCACACATCATAGAAAAGCTACATCAAAACGGGAATCATTTAGTTTGGTACTATTAGCTACAGAACAAAGTATCATGTGGATGCTTAGAAAGAGATAAATGTAAGATAGGCTGTTCTGATAGAGTGACAAGTGAAATTTTGTGGTTTAGAGGTTATGCAATGTTGTTGACATTTTACATACCCATATGAATAGAAACTTAAGACAGATTTGTGAATGTACCAACAGATACTATAATTTTACAGCAATTATGTTTACCAAATTAAGTTGGATGGTCTTTTGACTTTGCTATGTGATGTGACAGTTGAAATTAGTTTGCTGAGCCTGCTTGCTTTCAAATGGCTATTCCTTTTAGTATCAAAGTTCTGATTAGTGATTGCCCTTTAACTGTAATGTTGGGTATGTGGTTGAACTCCTCCTTTGTTGCACCGTAGATCCTACACGACATGTTGGCATTGAGGGAAGGTTTCGATGCGATCTCTCCGATGCTTAACTCAGAGGAATAGGAGGAGTGAGTTAATTGTATTATAGTATTCACCTGCTTGCCTTTGTTTGGCATGAGGCTTAGTTTTTATATCTGAGCGTCTCGCGACAAGGATGGGGATTGGTGATGGTCCCCCCTACCTTGTTCTTCAAGTGTTATTAATGGAGGTAGCTTACCAACTTATTAGTGCGTCGTCCTGAGGCCAGCATTAGTGCAGGGCCATTGGGATGACATTCCCTACAATTGTATCATGAGGATATAGTATAGGTGTTTATTGAAGAATGAGTTCACTGATTAATTCGTTCACGGAATATTAATTCGTCCACTTTTTTATACTGAATTTATAGGTTTAGAAGTTTCAGATCTAATACAACCGATCATTGTGAGTGGTAGCTAACTTTACGAGGGTAATTGATTTGATTGTTGATAGAGGATAATCTACTCTTAGTATCATGAGAGAAATATCATATATGTTCTTACTTAGGCAAATTCCTAGCATGGATAATTCAAATTGGGAGAGAGAGAGAGAGTTCTCCGAGAGAATCCAATTAGAACGAGATTCGAGTAAAATTCCATATGGACTTGATAGCACCATGCTTGAGGCATATGAGTCGAGAAAGCCCAATTCGCACCATTAGGTTCGCCATGATGGAGACCCCAAACTAAGCATCCCCGAGATATGTGAGGCAGGAAAACCCGACTCATGCTATCATATCCTGAGGTGTGTGAGTAAAAAAAGTTTGATCTACCCCACTAGGTTCACCAATGACAGAGATCCCAAACTAAGTATGATCGAGACGTGAGGATAGGGAAGGCTCGACCACACCGAGGAAGAAGAATTGGGGGGGTGGGGGGGGGGGGGAGGGGGAGTGGTGGGATGGGTACAAATGATAGAGAATATTTTAACAACCAATCCTCGCTTGTCAACCAATAGTCCTAAGGATGTCGATATGGAAGAAGGGAGGCCAATCATCCTCTCCCTATCCTTGACGTGGAGGTGGTAACGGCCTGTTGGCCTTTGTGGATAATACTCCACAAGAGGTTGTTCAGGCTTGTCTCCCCTTTGATGCCCTCGTGGAAAAAACACTTGATGGGTGGCGGGGGCTTGGGCATTAAGGCCATTACAAAAGAATCCCTTAGTTAATCAAGTATACAAATTAACCCTTGACGTCGGTTGAACCTTGTTCAAAAGGACATCTCACACCCCAAATATATACTCAAGACTGACTTGAGTATCAAAGGGATTGAGTTGAAATTTTTTTCCCTACAATAGCCCGTGTAGGAACCCTCGAGAAGTCAGACCCCACCTCCGACACCTCAAAACTACACGAAGACTATCTCGAAGCCACATCGACCTTTTCGGGGTCACCCAGAGAGGTCCTCGGATGTCCCTATGGCTTTAGGTCAAAATCAAGCAAGGCTGACTCAAATGATAAATATCTTATACAATAAAAATAATAAATATTACTAACATTTTTTGATGTCCGAAGATGAAATGGGTCAAGTTGGGATGGGAAATAAGTGTTATGTACGCGATATGTACCAAATGATGGGGCTAAATCTGGGCTGATTGGGCCGAGCCCAAAGTGTTGAAATCCAATCGTTCGCTTAGATTGAATCTGGGTTGACAACAGTTGGTCTGGCCTTAACGTAGGATGGTTTGGATGGGATCAACTAAGCCGACCCACCATTTCATATATGTCAGCGTCAGTATAGCCAATATAGATAATATTGTAATCCAGAAATTTAATTATATAAGTATTAATCATCGTAATCCGATTTTTGAGTCGTTAACTTTGATGAGAGATATTTAATTAATTAATTAATTTTTTTGCTTTGAATATAACATCATACTTATACTAAACACTTCTGATATCATTAGTGAATTCATAAGGAGGCATTACTTCTAATTTGTCTTAAGAAGGATACAAACCGGTCCCATTTGCTTCCAATGGTCGAAGCATACGTGATTAGCCCATGGCACTAAAGATCTCATTGCCGATTTGGGTGCGGGTCCCACCTTCTTCATTGCTCTCTCTCTCTCTCTCGCACGCACATCAACACCAAGCTGTGGGTGGGCCCCGAGTATCGGGTCGACGGGTTCTATCCAACCAAACGGCACCGTGGGGAGAATCGTAACGGCGCCGACCCGTTCTAACGGGAACCGGTGACGTCCCCGGTTATCCACGCCGCCCCGTTAGCGGCACTCCCACCTTTGTAGCCGGTGGACGCGGTCACCTCCCCCGTCATGGGATCTTCTTAAATGACCGAAACACCCCTCGGAGTGGCAAGAGGTTATTCGGCAGCATCCTGCAACTCGGAGGAGTTTTGGGGTCATTTTAGTCTTTCCATGGACACAACTAAAAAGGTATAACACCAAATTTGGCCCCGTGATTTATGCGAGGACTATAATAGTCGGCCAACCTGTACGCACCCTACGCAAATAGAAAGGGGCAAAACAAAGAACGTAAATGCTGAAGCAAGGAACGAGGAATCGATTCAGATTGAGCGTCGGAGTCTGAGGAAGCGGCGACAGAGAGAGTCTCTTCTTCCGTCCATGGTGATATGACATGGAGGGAGGAGGTACGCTTCCGTTACAGTAGATCCCTCCTCGGGTTCATTTGAGGTCTCATTGTCGCTATTCACATGCATTTTTACGTGCCACTTTGATGCCATTTCGCTTTCGCTCTTGTTTTTTTTCTTTTTCCTGTCATTTATTCCTCAGGATCTTCAATGGCAAGATTTGATGTTGTTTTGACAGTCATTTGGAGTGGTTACAGAATCCAAAATTGATCGTGGGATTCGACGTAATAACAGTTTTGTGTTTGTAGAGTATTTAGATTCTTTGTTGCATGGACAGAGACTAGATACTGCGACATGGATTTCTTCGAACTGGCCAAGATCATCTTCACCAGGGTGCAGAAGCTGGAGCCTGAGAACGTCGTCAAGATCATGGGATGCATCTTCCTGAAGGAGCCGAGCGGGCTGGAGATGCTTCAGCTTGCATTCGGCCCCGACACCACGTTGCTCTCCAAAGTGATCGACGCCAAGATCATGCTTGGCATCTTGTCCGCCAAGCCGATTGCTTCTTACCTTACTTGGGGATCGCACGCCTTCTCCTCCCCCACGAGTCTTCATGTTCAGCTACCCTACGATCACCATCCTCCACCCCACAACATCGATCTCGTCCCGCGAGCGTACGCTGAATCCATCGCCGACGAGTCCTCACTCTACGGTCAACCTCCGCCGGCGGACCAACTCGATGCCACCAACCACATCGGGAACTACCACTACCCGGACGCCCCACTGGGTGGTGGCGTGGCTTTAAGGAGCAGCAGGAGATCACACAGCCTATCCGACTTGCCCATCAAGGCTTGCCATTACTTCAACAAGGGCTACTGCAGGCATGGAATGAACTGTAGATACTCGCATGCCCAGTCCGCTCCTGATGGCTACTATCCTCATGTACTCACCGCCAACATGACTGACTACCCGAACGACGACGTCCCATTCACGCCCAAGTCGCTCGAGAATCTGGAAATGGAGATCACTGAGCTCCTGAGATCGCGGAAAGGAACGCCCGTCTCGACTGCCTCCTTGCCCTTGCTGTACTTCGACAAGTACGGGAAGAACCTGCAGGCGGACGGGTACCTCACGGAGAGCCAGCGTCATGGGAAGGCTGGCTTGAACTTGACGAAGCTGTTGTCCCACTTGAAGAAGAGCATTCGGCTCATCGAGAGGTACTGCAAGTTTTGGATTACTCACCTAAACATCGAATTATACACCTTCATTCTGATCATTTCCTCCTCTGAGTTCCCTGTGTCTGCACGACAGGCCACATGGACAACACTCGGTAGTACTAGCAGAGGATGCTCCGAGATACATGGACTGCAGGAACGAGAGAAGTGACTCAGGTTCTACGGTTTCAAGCTCTCACCAGATTTATCTTACATTCCCAGCAGAAAGCACCTTCTCCGAGGATGATGTTTCCAACTACTTCAAGTAATTCAACGAGAGAGCCTAGTGAGTGTTTTCCTTCATCGATGTTCTTATTGGCGTCGAACTTTGTGCAGGCAATACGGTCAAGTGCGTGATGTTAGGATCCCTTGTCAAGACAAACGCATGTTTGGGTTCGTCAGCTTTGTCCATCCTGAGACTGTCAACATGATTCTTACGAAGAGAAATCCTCATTACATATGTGGTGCTCGTGTATTGGTCAAGCCATACAGGGAAAAATCTAGAGTCATCGACAGGTTAGATTCTTTTTGTAGCATGTCATATCCCATACGGATGAATCAAATTGTTTCTATGTCATTATCGAATCATTTCTCCTAATGCAGAATGTACTCGGAGAAGATGAAGCCATGGACTAATTACCCTTCACGTTATGTGGGGATGGATCATGATGTGCATTCTGGTGAGTGTGACTTCCAAGGTTGATTTCATGCTTCATGTATAATGCATATACATGCAGAAGGAAGATATTGATCTTTTGGTGCTTCCGACACATGGTTAAACTCCATCCAGTGACTCGAGAAGGTGATAGTTCAAGCTTGCTTAGAAATAATCTAATTGAGAAGGAAATGATGATGGAGCATCTCTCTGGATTGAACTTGGCACCCAAGAGATTGACACAGCAACATTACTTGACTCATGGCATGGAAGACATGAGAGTTGCAGAAGGTATGACATGAAAATCCCAGTCATATGTGCTCACAATATAACAAATCTTACAAGATTTTGGTTTGGTAATTGCTTGACATCTAGAATCTGATTGCCCACTATTCAGTTCCCAGTGACTTCTTCCTAGATCATTTCAGCTATCCATTTGATGCTATGAATAATGGATCCACAAGTGATGACAAAGCCAGGCAAACAAGCAACCCATTCAGTGACCAGGAAAGGTAAGTGAAATATTAATATTTAAGATATACATTTGTTGTTTGACCTAAAACAACATCATTGAGTGACTTGCAATTACAGGTCTCCTCATATTAGATTTCCACAATGATCATTAACTGGAAGCTCTGCAATTTGTCATCACTCTTCGCTTTGCTTGACATACTCGTTGACATGATTTTTCTCATGAGGTTTTTTGCTGGTGTATGCAGTAGCGTTGAACTCCCGGAGAGCCCTTTTGCATCTCCACCAGTAGGAAGCAGCATTTCTGCAGTCATATGAACACTATGAAGAGAACAGGGAATGGAAGCTTGCCATTCCATCAATGATTTGGTACAGTGTCTGAATCAATGGGGGTTCCCTGAGCTCTGTACTCAACAACAGAAGATAAATGCTTCTCCATTTGTTACTGTGAGAAGCCTAGGAAGATACAGCTACACCTTTAAAAGGAAGCAATACACCTCTCTCGTTGTAGATACTGAAGCAGGATGTCAGTTCATTTAGAAGAGAAATGGCTAATTTATTGTAATAGATGAAAGACGTGAACTATCTGAACTAGAAACAAAGTTGTGTTTGAAACATGAGATGGTATAGCATACATCACTAATTGTTGAACTTTCATTGCATATTTTAATGCTAGTTGCAAATAACAAAGAGATGGCCAATTGTCCTGGTGATCATACATTGTGACATTTCTTGCAGCTTTCCATCTAATATCAGATAATTCCTTCTGCTCTGATGAATGTATAGTTACAGCATGCAATTATCTCCAGCTTAATCCAAGAAGCTGGAATTCAGGTTGTTTTTCATTCCTAACTGGGGTTCCTAATTATGAAGTTTGATGCATATAATCCAGTCTCAAATGTTGTAATGGGATGGGAGAATATGAACCAAAGGCCTGCAACTGTGTCTGCAGATTGGTCAGCAATAGAACATGGTAATAGACTCATCAATCTCCAAAAAAGAAAACTGAACAACAATGACACACTTCCAATGTGATAGAAAATCTTTGAACTCATATAATGATAAAAAGAATAACTGACCTTATTATTATTCTCCACTCGAAGTAATTGATTTGCCTGGGAAATGTATCAAATCATGACCATATAATGTTAATGATTTAACTCTGAAGCTCTAGATGATCGTAGGCACCTCCAGTGACAAAGATAATACCTGAAAAGAAGATATTAGATAATTAGATGCTGCTGAGACATAGTTTCAAGAAACAGATGAGAGTAACTTTAGATTTAACCTTAGTGGCTTGTTAACACTTTCAGGATATCAGAGTTGCACAGGCCGATGCTCCTGGAGAGTTTATTCTAAGCAGTACTCCATCATCAATACTGTGGAGGAGTTGTGGGGTAGCCAACTTGACTATGCTATCTTTAGGTGCCCCTAATTCTCTTGACAGCAAGGAGAAACGTGAAGTCCCTGAGTTTTCAATCCTCTGGACAAGAATCTGGGGGCTCAACCACACAACTTTGATGATATCACTTCTGATACCAACCTCTTCAACCAAATACCTGATTGTGGGCTTTAAAGAGTGCTCGATGCTATAAGAGAACAAAGATGGGGCTGCAGTTATAATCTATCCTGTACAAGAATCTATACTAACTAAAAAAGCAACATGAGACTCAAGAGTGTTTTCGACAGTGTGCTCCAAAATTTGGGGCTGACTTATAAGTTTCCTTTTATATCTCCATGTTTGACTTCAACAATCAACAAGAACTCCAACCTTCCTGAGTGGAAGACATATCTATCTTAACGCAAGGCATATGTCTCCTGTAGATGGAAACAAAATCAGAGTCTTTTGACTTATATGTGCTCAAAATATTCAATTGGGGAAAATTACGTCTCATCAAATTCTAGTTCTTCTGCAAGTTTCTGAAATCTGCTTTTAGTAAAGTTACTATTCTTCTGTTGCAAACGATAATCAACTATTAGACTCTTTGTCACCAATGAACAAGGCAGAGCCACAATAACCACACATTAAGTTGAGAGTTAATGTAAAAAAACCTTTGAAGTGTTCTCTAAATCAACATGTTCCATTTTGGAAGATCGATTTAAGTTGTATTGATGATCTTTGGAGTGTGTTTTCTTTGAGATGATTTCCTCATCAACCTTCACTGATGACTGAACCATTTGAAAGTATCAAGCTTTGTGCAGATTTTAATGATTTCTTTTCCCACCCCTTCATTAGTAGTTGATGTTGTCCTGCAAAATCAATAAAAGGAGATGTAGCAGCAAAATCTTCTTGTAAAATATGCTATAGACCTTTGGAGGTACCTGGCTTTTTATTTGGTTCAGCTGAGTAAAGCATCGACAATTTTCTATCAGAGAAATGATTGTTGACATCTGGAAGATCATCCTGAGGAAACTAAACAGTATGAATGAGAGAAAGAATCATCATGTCACATACGTAAATAGTTGATCATTAAGAAAAACCACTGTATATCGATTTGATCGTGGTAATGTAAATCCAACAAATGCAGAGAATGTCTAAGAGGTAATCTACTAGTCTGAAACTTCTGATACAAAAGAATAAGAACAAAGGTTCAACAGTCAACTCTGGTATCTAAGGAATTGTACGAAGTATCCTATCCTGCTGAGGACCACACAAGAGTATCTTGCCAGTGACAAGGGGGCAGGGTTATTAAGTGGATGACCCTTCTGGCACCTGCTAAAGATTTTCTGCAAACCGTGTATCGCCTATGTTCATGCAGGTTGACATGTTGAACTCCTACAATTCCCATCAGCATGGCACACGACCACACCAGACAGGGATATTAATGTAGTGAATTTATCATAGAATCATAATTGAGAACAACATGTCCCAGCTATTGGAGGTTGATATATGGAACTTTTTCCTGCAATTAATTTAGCTACTCATATTTCCACCGTTAACTTCTTTGTAGAGTTAAGTCTGATTTTACACAAATTACGTAATATTGTAATGATAAGTGTAGACTATAAGACGAATGTCTAAAATTATGATGGGGCAAATATAACAAAGAAAAGGACTTAACAATGAATAAATGCAATAAGGTTTTCCATAAGAAGTGAGTGGTTGGAAGAGGGGAGAATTACATTCTTATCTAGAAAAAGAAAAGCAATCAGAACAAACACCAAAATTTCAGGAAACTCAATCAAGAATCAAATGAATGGGAGTATGACCAAGGAATAATGACCTTGCCATCTACAAGCTGTGGAATTGGCATGTACAGTTTTACAAGCAAAGATAACACTACCTCTAGTGCTAACCTAGAATATAAAGTTAATTGAACAAAGAGATTCACAAGCATTTCAAGGCTCAACTCCATTAAAATCATTTATTTGATGTCAGTTCCAGTTCTAGCAGCACTCCAGAATATCTGGAGTCAAACTAACATCTAGATTGTAGTAATAGTTACTCGGGCCTGCCTGATCATACTCACTTTTGAGTAGGTAGCAATTGCCAAAGGAATGGTCAAATGATAGCCTTATAAAGTCACAACTTTTCAAATTGTTAAGACTTAAAAGAACTGTCATGTAAGGAGTCACAAAGAGTTGGATATTAACAATTCAGAATTTACTTTAGCAAAGCTTTAAATATTGTGGATGAAGTCTTCTAAAGCTCAGGAACAAGCATACAATTCCAAAGCGAATGTAGCATCATTGGTCCACTAAACACCAGAAATTACATTAGGTCTTTTAACTTCTAGCTGAGCCATGATGCATGCCAATCCTCATCCTGATTACTAGGAAACAAAAACAGAAACAATTTTGAGAAAAAGGACTACAAGATCAATGATCAAGGGAGATGTGCGGAATAGCATTGACAAAGAGACAACTTTTAGCATGGAACAGATTATGTCATAAAAAGATAGATTAACCGGGCCTATGTGATAGAAATAAAATACAAAGGAGAAGAATACATATTTATACATGTTAGAAGAGAGAGTTGTCCTCAACATAGGAGGATTTTCCTCAACAGATTTAAGACATCTCTTCAACAGAGTTGGGGAGATCTCGGTCGTTGTTGAGGTTGTTATCACGGGAGATCTTGGCTGTTATCATGCCCCCGCAAGACGGTACTTCTGTCAAGGACGCCGATCTTGGACCGATGTGATGAAAGCGAGTTGCGGGTGAGAGGCTTTGTGAGAGAGTCCGCTAGTTGATTAGCCGTATATACGTGAGAAACACGTAGTTGATGTCTGACAACTTGTTCTTGCACGAAGTGAAAGTCGATGCTATGTGTTTC